GTGTGTGTACAACTGATCGCATCTAACCCTCGGCGCGCATGCGCAGTTGTAGTCGCGCGGTCTGGCTGTGTGCATATGCTGGCTAGCTAGGCTCACCTCCACTTGTTCTATGTACCTTGGAACACAAGAAGCCACAGCGAAGGGTGTGTATCGACTCCCGCATGCTACCTACTACGGGCGACGAGGGTCAGAAAATATGTGGGGTTTTCTCTGAAAATGATCCGTAGCAGAGCTAGAGCGCTTCCAGCATTGTATGGCTAATGCCGGTAGTCGCCATTTTATCGCTGGCTGATAATGCGCATGCGCTTATATTTAGCTCGACCGGTCTGCTTGCTCTGTCTACCTGGAAGGCACAAGAAGTCACAACGAATGGCGTGTATCGACTCTCGCGTGCTATCTACTACTGTAGCTAGCCCGTGTCAGACTCTCTGCCAGCTACTTCGCCGAGGGTTTGCACTTTAGTGCTTTTCATTTCTGATGGATAAGCACCCCCTCTCTTGATCGTGAGATCATGGTTCGATCCCGGGTGTGTGCGCCTTTTTTACAATGATGTATTATAGCTGTTTGTATAAATGGAACGTTTTTTCATCACCTCTCAAGGCCAGCCCGAGTGGCTAGGTGGTTAGAGTCGTGGGGACTGACACCATAGGTGCCCAGTTCGAATCCTCGATCCCGCACTAAAGTGTCAGGTGGTCCAGAGCATTGGCTGGGAACAGCTCTGGTTCCTCCCCTTACCCACAAATCTACCACTGACCCACGTTTCTCAAAGGGCAGCGTACAGTTCGGCATTGCACTGCGTCCGTAGACGTCTGTCTGGAGAGATGAAGGGCTGGGCGTTTTTAAAAAAAATTATTTTCAACCTTGGGTTTAAAATTTTTTTTTTGCACTAAACAATCCACGGGTAATACGAAAATTAATAGAGAGATGAAAGGTTGGCAATTTTTCAACCTTATATATATTTTTGGCCTCAAACAGAAATAGGGACATGGTGCATAACATGCTGTTCTATGATCAAGACCATCAATTGTGGTGGTGCCACACTTGTATATATGGTTCCACATTTCTATATAGTGTGCCAAGGGTTTGCACTTTAGTGCTTTTCATTGTTTTTGTAGCTCACACAAATACAACTTTTAGTTTTGTACATTAAAATCAGGCAAGAATGATAAAAAATGATCACATCAGTTAAAAACACATCGTCGGCATACTGTACATTATAGCAGATTTACAAAACTTACAAAACGAAAGATGCTCTACTTATAGCTGAGCTTTATGCGGAATCACAATCAATAGCAATAGCTTGAGCTAGTGTTAAAACGTCAGTGAAGTTTGGAATAGAGGTCGCTAGTGAAGGAGAAGCCTGCAAAGTTTGTCTGGTCGATGGACATGACCAATGTGGTGTCGGTGGGAGTGAGCTGGGCTGGCTGGAAGGTAAAATCATCATCAAAGTTGCTGGCATCCGACGGCCCTTTCTGTATGAGAGAGAACGCAGATTTTGTACCCAGCGTCACCTTTGATCCACCATGCATCATAGTATATTCACAGCCACATACGTAACACAACAAATAATCTTGCTACTAAACCTGGTCAGCAAATAATGACATCATATGAGGTAGTATACTCTGCTATTGTTGCGGAGAATTCCAATTACATATCATCCACTGATAATCATTGATAAAAACTACTGACCACATTGGGTTTGAAGGGCGACTTCAGTTTTCTGGCCTCCAGCTTGACAAAGTCAATCTCTCTGAAGAAAGCGTGGGCCCTGATCTTCTCCTTGTCCTCGATGCAGCCCAGCCTCTCGCCCGGGTCTCTCTGCAGCAACTGTGAACAAACAACAACACAGCTACAGTGCTGCCAGTAGCAACATGGAAAAGATCCGGGGTCGAGATTCATGCAACAAGCTCCACTATGATTGTGCATGTAATTGCCTCTAGCAAAAACGTAGGAGTATGAGCATGGTGCGTAGGTGTATGTTGGAAGGTATGTAGCTCGTATGTTGCTTGTTTGTATTAGCCCTGAGATCCAAAGAGCACGTGTAGATTTACACCGAAATGTCTATAAGTACCTTGTCGAGGAAGCTGATGGTGGTCTGGTCGAGGTAGCGAGAGAAGGAGACCTGATGGTTGCAGATGGAGTCAAACAACTCGTCCTCATCCTCTCCACTGAATGGAGACTGCAGCATAGAGACAACACACCACTCAACTCACACATATACTCAGTCTCAAGTGCCACACTTTTAACCAAGCCCCGTGCAACGAAAAATCTCCCAAACACGTATGTATGAGTCCAACATAATGCAACTAAAAGCTTCCTGGATGTAGTTGACTTGTTTTCTTTGCCTTGCCTTTCTACCTCTATACCTCATTGTTGAGACATGCAACTAGAGGTCCATCCAAAAGATTGCATGGGCCTTGATAGTGTACCCATTTTGGGTAGTGCATGATAACCATAGTGATAAGTTTTAACTGACCTGGCCAGTAATCATCTCATAGCAGAGGACTCCAAAAGACCACCAGTCCACGGAGAATGTGTACCTCTTTCCCCTTTATGATCTGCACACAACAGCAATACATTATTTACAACCATGCATTCTCATACACCAAGGGTGTAAGACTAGGTTGTAATGTACCACTGGTAATTAAGTTTCAAACATTGTGACAAGGACTTCCTTTAGAGATTTTAATATGTGAATACTCAAATCCCATTCCCAGTGCACGTCTGACATTCAGCGTACTCAGCAGACTAGGAGGCCAATGTGTGTGTGTGTGTGTGTGTGTGCACCTCCGGTGATATGTAGTCAGGAGTTCCGCAGAAGGTGCCGGCTGTGGCGTATCCAATGACGTTCTCCTTACACATGCCAAAGTCGGCCAGTTTGCAGTGACCCTCAGAGTCCAGTATCACATTGTCCAACTTCAGGTCTCTATTGTTAAGAACATGTTAGTGGAAATTCAAGTCGCAAATTTGGAATGTAGGGATGCTATGTGCAAAAGTTGAAACTGGGAGTGACAAGTGTGTGAAATGGAGCAAAAGAATAATGACATTGCTTGCTCATGCACATTTCCACCAGATCATCATCCCTCTAATAGTTTACGAAATAGAGGCGGTAAGTTCAGTATGGTTTTTTATTGTGCTTTTGTTTGCTGTACAATAGAAACCCCATGAGTTATGGCTGAATAGAGCTGACAACGACATTTAAAGTTTACAGGACTTATATTGCACCACAGAAAAATGAATATTAGAAAAATTCTTCTGAAAACAGTGCACTAAAGCATAGATATACGTACCTGTATATAATGCCTTGCTTGTGAAGGAACTGCAGAGCGCAGAGTATCTCTGCTGCATGGAACCTACAAAGACACACACAAGGGACAGAACAATAGGCAACAGTGATGGGCGAGGTCAATAGGACAATCCGTCATTAATAATGCCAGTTGTCTCACAGTGTGTGAGTGTGTGTGTGTATACCTGGCTCTGGGAAGTTTGAACTTGTGAGAGATCTGTATGTGGTACATTAGGTCCCCGCCATTCAGGTACTCCATCACAAAGAACAGGTGACTCTGAAATAAATAGGGGAGGGATGAAACAACATCTTTGCACCTATCTCTATCGTAAATAAGGGTGTCAACGATTTTGCATTTGTTGTAGACACAAGAATGGAGAAAGAGACAAACCGACTACAGTTGGAGTATGGAATGGTACCATCTTATATCTCACTGCCCCTATCCCAATCTTGCCCAAATTTCGCTATATAAAGGGTGTCAACGATTCTGCATTTGTTGTAGGCACAAGAGTGGAAAAAGAGACAAACCAACTATCCTTAATACTTTGACTACAGTTGAACTATGGAATAGTAACATCTTCTATCTCACTGCACCTACCCCTATTTGGTATTTATTTTGCACTTTCACCCCATATACATGCAAAATGGGTGGGAAAGAGAGAGACGTAGGGAGGGGGAGAGAAAGAATGAGTGAGGAAGAGAGAAAAGAAGGAGGGAGAGGAAGGCTCACGGGAGTCTGGAAGGTGGAGTGTAGATGGGTGAGAAAGGGGTGGCTGCAGCCGAGTGCCAGAAGTCTCTTCTCCACCATGGTGGCCTCCACGTCGTCATCTTCCAGTACCACGTCTTTCTTGAGGGCCTTGACGGCAAGGTACTGCTCGCTGCCCTCCAGCTGAGCCAGCAACACCTACACAAACGTAATACCAGATGAGCCAGCCATGGATAAATAGATTTACCATAATGACGTCATACTACTAAGACAGAGACCGAAGCAAAGTGTATAAAGCCGCGACAATATAGGGCTTGTGTGGAAGGAAAATTTCACAAGCACGCAATGTCAGGTTTGCCATTATCCATTTTACTACTGCATCACATACACTAGGTCATCCCTGTCTTGTCTCCTTGCTTTATAATATACCATCTCTATATTCACCATTTTCTAAGTTCTAAGATTTACTTGTTTACTCAGACAGAGACTGAAGCAAAGTGTAAAACACACTGCCACATTCATACGTGAAACAAGCCATTATCATCATCTGTTTACATAAGCCGGAGAAAAGCGCTGCAGCATGTGTTGTATTAGGCCTAGAAAACTAGCAAGTCTATACTGTAGTTTTTCAAAGTCTTTCTATCCAGGAGTTTTGAAAACTATATGTAGACTGTTTTTATGTTGTGTCCTATCCCAAATTTCACATTCATTTGCCCATCAAAGCTTCATTCATTGATGTTACCTTCCCAAAGCTTCCTTTTCCGAGTAGTTTGATAAACTTGAACTGTTCCAGTCTGTATTTCTTCATGGTCGGTCGACTGTAGCCGTGGAAACTGCCCGGGGTGATGTGGCCGTTGGTGGTCGGTCCTCGCTGGCTGTAGGTCCGGGGAGGAATGGGCGGGGCTCCGCGTTGTCCGGGGAGACGTCCTAACACAGCTCGAGTCATGGCTGAGAAAGAGAGAGAGAGAGAGAGGGAGAGTCTATTGGCGGCAGATAGCTATCAATTTAAGCAAACTTCCTTTACGGTTAGCATTTAGGACTAAGTTTTGAGTCAACACGAAATCTGCTGGTCAGCATTTTGAAGAAACAAGGCTAAAAGTAATACTTTATCTACTTAAAACTACATATTGCATCAATCAAGACTGACCTTCTGTGACCTCTATGTACTCTTCGGACTCCCCCTCGGGGACAGCTGGGAGGGGCTTGGCACTGGGACTCCCCGGAGTGGTCGCTGGCTCTGAACCTGCCGACTGATCAGAGTTTTAAAATCAGCACCAGAACATGGTAGAAGTTAATACAACAAAATCGCCTCATTTTGATACTAACATTCGTGTGTCTTGTGTTATCACTGCTGCCATAGCTCACACACATGTATATTATATAGTCAGTTGTTTGTGGATATACAGAGTAGCCCTTTTTCTAACAGGTGAATTAGGTTTGGGAATTGCCCACAGAGGTTTAGCAGGACATAGAAGCATCTGGCACCAGACTGGGGGCAGCTCATTTCCTCCACACTAGGGTGTGCCACATTGCTCCCATGTCTACCATTCATCCTACGCTTGACTTCCACAGCATTGCAATAGTCGGCAAAAAACAGTACTCTACATCACGCAGTTCCCTAGGGTAAAGAGCTGTCTGGTATCTAGCACCCGAGATATTGAGCTAACAAGAAAGTATCAGCATATGCTGTCAAGTCTGGACAGAAGGCAAATGCGTGCATGCCTTACAATATTATTATGAAGGCACACTATCAGTACTTTCGCTGGTGTTGTGATGTGGGGGTAGAAAGGTGTGTCACAAACGTCCCTTTAGGCTGCATTTGGGATAGTAACACATGTTGTAACAGCAAGCAGGGTTTTTGGCAACAGTGTTAGCCTTTGCGGAACAATGCCAGCTGCGTACGCCAAATAAGATGTGCTGCAAGGACCCTTCTCTTAGAATACCTGAGGGCCCATGCTGTCCTGTCTGGGTACTGCAACAGATGTGTTGGATATCCCTAGGCAAATGACATGTATGAACCCTGCTTGCACATGTGGGATTGTATCTGCTAATAAAACCCCCCAGTACCTAGCTTCATACGTGTCGGTTGCCTAGGGATATCCAACAAAACTTCACACTTCAATTTATGTTGGATACATGTGTACCATTATTGCGTACGTATCATTGCGTACCAATCTTCTATTTCTCTTGAGTTCGTCGACACTCTTGAGGGCCTCGGCCAACATCTTCTCGTTGACTCCACACAGCGGGGGCATGTTCTTCTGGCAGCGGATGTGGCAGCTCACCCCACACGCTGCACACACACACACACAGACAGACACAGACACAGCAACGGTGCGAAGTAAAGTGATGCAAGTCTTACGAGGCACATTGAGAAATACGTACAGCTTGCTGAAGCAACACAACTAGCCCATAGTACCTATCTACAATATACTGGCGTTCCCCTCAAACACTTAGCAACTAGGCATATCATGCACACATTTACTACACTAGCTAATATACACATTACGTAAAACAATAAAGCATTCAGAATTTTGCAGGGATGTTGTATCTGCATTCGAAGGAACTTCTACGAGTAATTCAATAGCCAAACTAAAAATTTGCAATCGTCAGTTAAAACTTATTTCTATGCTAACGGACAGGGTCTTACCTGTACACTTGGCTCCCTGGCGGAAGATCCCGTGCATCATTTGCCCACACATATCACAGAAAGAGGGGCCGAGGAAATTGTGCACCTTGAACCGATGGGGCATGTCAATCTTGAACCTTTCCCTGAGGAACTGCACAGGAAAACCACCGTATATTCACTTCAGAACCCTTAACTCTCCTCATGTGGGTGATGACTTCGGTACAAGTCGTCGTGAATAATTAATGAGGCAGAAACATGTGCTGGCATGCTTGAGGTGGTGTATGTGCTAGTTCTTTGCCACTACAGAAACCACGTGGGAATAGCAAGTACAATGGGCCTTGCAGGTAACTATCTGCAGATACTCAGTTGAAGCTACTATCCATCATGTTCATGAGGGCCAACAAGCCCGAAACAGCTGTCCAGAGCTCCCCATCTTTTTTCTCTTGGCATCACATGGTCTAATACTACTTCATGTGTTCATAGCAGCTTTCTTGGACAATAGAATGACGCAGTTGTACATAAAGTGTACTAAAGCCATCTGGAATGCATACAGAACACTAGGAAGACTCAGCGGTACATGTATGCATGTATATTCAAATGTGATTAAATGTTTGTTTCCTTATATAGGTGTAGCCGATCAATTCCTTTCCATTGCCTTTGATAACACAATAATAAGGGGTTGACACAGTATGCAATGCACTTAGCCAGATGTGCTGAAGTGATCTAATCAAATCACTGCCACTTGGTAAAGAGCCCGGAATAGTGATGCCTGCTCACTATAATTATATAATATTATAATACCAGGGACTTGAAAGCAATAAGAAGATGGCAAACACGGGTCTTCACCAAAGGGATGTTTCTGTGGACCTATCATGGTCTGTTTGAGTACTGCGGTGCTTCTGTATGAGTGTAAACAGTGGTTCCTTGCAGCGACTCATCCTCTCCCGCGCCCCCTCATTAGCCATCTAAGGACTGAGTCTCGCCACATATATAGTATGGTCAGATGGGAAGGACTGATTTTGAAAAATACCACATGCCAGTTTTGGGGCATTGAGCTTTGTGTTATGGTATTACTCTACATAACTCGTCCAATTATTCGTCATTGTGAACCTAGACTAAAACTGTAGGCTTTGGGCGTGTGTATCAGTCACGGGACTACAATACAGCGTCGATGGGTGATATACTACAACTGTACCTTAGAGTGGGTGTCATCGCCAGTAGCTCCAGTACATTTGGCAAGGATTGAGCCTGTGCACTTCTTGTGAGCTGTATAGTGGCACACTGTGGGAGAGGTAAGGAGAGAAAAAAGAAAGGAGGGAGGGGGGAGGTAAAAGGGAGAGAGGGCGGAAAAAAGAAAGGGAGAAGAAGTTTTGAGCGAGCGCGAGAGAGAGAGAAAACGAAAGGGAAAGAAGGAGAGAGAGAGTGTACGTCAACAGCAGAAAGGGTGAGACAGAGGTGGAGATTGGAGGGGATGTGAAGAGCAGAGATGGAGAGAAACAGCAGAGAGGGTGAGAGTGGATGTTGAGAAGGGATGCCAGGAGCTATGCAGGGGATATGTGCAGTAATTCGAGGTGGTGGGAGAGACTCAACTACCTCCTCCCACTCAGACCTTCCTCCATTGACACCAGAACACGACACTACAGCTCTCATTGACATGCCTGGCCTTGTATATATACACAGTCATGCACTGATACGCCACATCTCAAGTCAACAAGGGTATTGTCTATGGACGGATATGCATGTGATATGCATGTGATATGCATGTGATATGCTTGGTGGTAATAACAGGCTAGGGCACATGATATGCCTCCAACACCTTACGATGTATACAACGCCCTCAGTTGAATCCCAAACCCAGGGCAGACTTTAAAACTCAACACATCCCTATTGCCATATATTTAGTGCTCATGCACATTAAATGTTATGTATACGTAATTATGTACGTACCTTGGCACTGATAGCCTTGCTTTGTAAAACCCCTGAAGAAAGGTACACAGGGTTGACAAGGATTAACGTGTGCATAGACGAGAGTGTAGCAAAAGTTGCATCGCATAAGGTAAGGATCTTACAACGAATGAACTTGGCACTGCACTCACAGAGACAAATGTAGAAAAAGTGCAGAATCTACCGTACGACTCTTCTTTCAAGTCCTCGGCAATGGGCTGTTGCATGCACGAATTTTACCTCGTCTAGTTGGCTGGGAACAACAACACTTCATATTGACTCATATTGGTCGTCAAGGGAACATGTGTGTATAAGAGACAGAACCACATACCGTAAGTACTCAGTAAAGTGGGAATCTACATACATGTATATATGCATGCTGAAATTTTGGATAAGGGACATCTTGTGATACACATAATCCGATGCTAGATTATAGAGAGAAAGAGCCACTGTCACTCACCAGAGGAATTCGTGGCACAGGGAGCAGTAAATTGCTCGTCGGAAGAACCTCTTGACAAACTGGTGTCCCTTTATCTCCTCCACGTGGGCCTGTTTGACGTGCATGGCTCCTCGTCTTCCTCGCAATGCCGTGGCATTCTTTGGGAGAGATTCCTTCCACTCTGGAGTCAGTACTGCCAGGTCTTGCCCTGGAGGAGCGGGAGGGAGGGAGGGAGGGAGGAGCAGGAGGGAGGAAGGGAGGGAGGGAAGGATCATAGTTTGTATTTAAAAACTGTGACGAACACTCCATACACCCTTGACAATGAAAACACGATTAACCAAGAAAGTATGCAAAAGAACACACTGATTAGCACTGAATCGAACCAAGCGTATAGAGAGGTGTCTTTTGTTTCAATGGTCCACTCTAAGACCAAGGCTACTGTACATACACATGTACCCATTCACAAAAATAGCTAGCTACTTACTGCTAGAGTGTGTGTTAAACTACTGCAGAGGCACTTGGCCGTGTCAAGAGCTGTTTACGCGACCCACGTGTGGTAGTTGGTACTTTCTTGGGATAAACAGATTGACTGTTGGCATTCGATACAGACCGCCGCCTACACACATACACCGCTGCTGGCTGTTTAGTTATTGTCCATTCTGACAATTGCCACATGTACAAATTTCCACCTACCAGAATCAATTTTTTACAGCCACAGGCATAAAACCTTTTGCACCTTGGCCAGCGATCATTAAACAGAGACAGAATCAACACAATGATGTGTTCATGCAAAAAGTACAAATACCCACTCTTTCCACAGGATTCTGGACTTGGTGGTGCTATGGCTACCACATGAGTATTATGCCCTGCTTCGACCTAAGGTGCATTCTTTTGCTGGCAGCTGCATTGGATGACCTCGTTACAAGAGAAAAGCAGAGTCTGGTAAAAGTCTGTATTGTTTATTGTGAGACTCTGGGAATGAAAGGCTTCCCATCACTTTCCAAATATGTACGTGACCCAAAACAAAACAAGTCTCCCTCGCAAGCAAAAAGGGAGAGAGTCAGTCGGCTGGACGGCTTCTGTTCAGGGTAAATGTCAGCGATGAAGCCTCAGATATCACAGACAGATACAGACAGAGAGTGTTGTGTGCACATACACATGTGCAGGTACGTAGGTCTGGAGGCAATGCTGCAGGACCGGATGCAAAGTTTAATAAGTCACTCATTTTTTTGTCAGTCAGGTCCACTCCAAGTGGCGACATCATTAGCTTGAATCCTTCTTTTAAAAGGGGGTAAGCATTTACACCAAGAACAAGAAATTGCCTTATGGAGTGGAAAAGAAAGAGACCAAAAACAATTGCTTAGCTAGAGCAAACAGGAAAGTATACTCAATAATTGGTACATACATACAAGCCAGAGATACGCATGTATAAGATGGCTGATTAGTCAGGTAGTTTTTCCATCAATGTACGTATGTAGAGGAAACAAGCTGCAATAGATTTTGGGTAAAGCAGCAATGAGAACGTAGTTACCTCTGCACGGATTAAATTACTGTGTGTGTTTTTTTAACCAGGACGGGAGCCTGGGAACTATGAAACACTATGACAATCAAACGTGGTGGGGATATATGACTCCTCGATCAAAATCTCCTTATAAGTTATGGGACGGTATTTACACTTTCCACGGAATGTGATCCGATCCACTTGTTTCCAAAATATCTTTAGAAGTGATGATATACACCTGTATCACATGGATAACTGGGAACAATAGGCTGGTATAATTATAATCAGACCCATAAACACAGGTGGAGTCTATGGCGATGATGAGTGAACACACAATGAACTGGTAAACGGTGGGGCCATAAAAGTGTGTGGAGTGTGTATATACCAGTCAGGAGGGTTTGCCATGGAAGGCATGACAAGAAATAATGGCACATTCCACAAGCTCGGCGCACACTTCGTGACCATGGCAAGGCGTATGCACATAACTCTATTCTTTATGGCGAGCGACACAGCACTGTCACTATTCCATAAGGCTTATACGTAATTCTAAGTACACGTAAAAGTACTGAAATTGTGCAATCATCACGTTCACTACATGCATTCATATACAAAATCATTTCGCACTTCATTAAAAACTCGAGAAAAACTTGACGATACTGTGCACTGTCACTATACCGCAGATTTTGTGCCAGCCAACATGCGTTGGGTTTGTCTATATACGTAACACTGGTGTGCTTTCTGTGTGTTGTCTTGGTTGCAAACTATCCATGAATAACAGGTTAGTCCATGAGTGTGTTGGGTTGGGTGTGACAGTCTGCATTCCCAGAGTTCATTCCGAGGCCCCCGCCCCACCCCTGCTGGCTCCCTGTGGCGGTGACCAGCAACTCACTCCAATTTTGGTCACACAGCGACTCTGAGAATGCCGACTAACTATTGCTGGATGCTAGCCCACGTACATAAAACAAGAACTGTGTAGCGTATAGGCACAGGTATTACGTAGACAGCTTGATTCTTAAGCCAGGTAAACAAGCAGACTGATGTTTTTTTAACATAGCGCATATTACAATATGGACTGCTAGATAGATCACACTAGCTGAATAGCATGCATATATACAGACTGTGGCCTCCTGCAATGTTTGCTTGCATAATACAACCCTCGTAGTGAGAAATGAGCGAGGCTGGCAAACACAAGGTTTAATGATTTCACATTATTTGCAAACACATGAGTGGAAGAAAAGACAAACCAACTATCCTCAACGCTTTAGGTATAGTTGGAGCATGGAATAGCAACATACTGCATCTCACGGCACCTATCCTCATCTTGCTTTACCAATCCCTATCTTACCTCTACTTCACTGTCCCTCTACCAATCCCCACCACCCCCCACCAATAAAGGTGTCAATGACATTGCATTTATTGTAGGCACGTGATTGGAAGAAGAGTCAAACCAACCACCTTTAGTACTTTGACTATAGCTGGAGTATGGAATAGTAACAATACTGTATCCCACAGCACCTATCCTTATATTGCTTTACCGATCCCTGTTCTTCACTGTCTTTTTACCAATCCCCCACCACTCCCAAATAGGGGGTGTCAATGATTTAGCATTTTGTGACTATGCACATGGGTGGAAGAAGAGACAAACAAACTATCTTCAAAGCTTTACATATAGCTGGAGTATGGAATGGTAATGTTCACTTTAACTAAACCACTTCACATACTGCTCACTCTTCCCCTTCCCTTCTGTGTTCAATGTGTAATTGTCACTCTCAGAGAGAGGAATACTGTCAGAAATACCCACGTAAGTACTCGTGCGGAACGGTTGCACAAAAAGGGGCAACGTGCAATGCCGAGAATGAAGTAATTCAATAAAGTGCAAGTCGAAGAGGCAATGGAGTGAAGGTATCATCACGGTAAGCTTCGCAGCCCACTGGCTGTTTATCGGGTCAGACACGACACATGCCACCATAAGGCCCGAGCCATTCCTACACACCGACCTACTCACCTGTAACTAACTAACCAGCTTAACAGCGATTATCAAATTTTGTACACAGAGCCTTTAACATGGGATGGATGCCATGAAAGTAAGCCAAGTGAAGTTATGCGATAAATTGCACGTCAAAGGTATGCAGTATAATTAATTACTGGTCCCAGCGATTAAGTCATTAAGTGGGAGAGACAGCTAGGGAAAGAGGAGCTGAGTTTGACTCTCATTGTTAGGTTAACTAGTTTTAAAACCCACTACACTCTGAGAGTCACTTTTGTCGCTCCATTAATAAAATCGTAGTCAATTTTACCTAGAGTATTTTTTTGGTGAAAAGTGAAAAGCATAAGCAGTTGAAAATTAAGAGCCCGCAACCTTTCTTATTTTCTTGGCTGCCCATCCTGTTTTACCTGGTTCATGTTAGAACCCACTTTGGATAAAGGCAAGGAAAAGGTGAGAACTGTCAGGGGGCAAAACCCAGACCCAGTGACTTGAAATCCAGAGCCAATACACCGAACTACAACTCTCACACAAAACTTAGTCTCCCCCATTCCATATCCCTACTGGGACGAAAAGGCATCGAACAGTTAGAACAAACACATGACAAGAGGTATTCAAATGCACTGAGCACATCACCAAAAGAACCATCATTGATCCTCCAGTGGTGCCATATATACATTACAAAGGAGGTTTATGCAGCCCGTGATACTGAATTAGGTCAGAGTCTTCTCTGCAGTATAATACAAATAGGGGACCGAGAGCCTGTCATGAAGGGTGAGGCTGGATTCCTGTGTCGTGGGCCAGGAAGCCACTGGGCCACATCGTAGCCTGAAACTCAATCCATCAACACAGCCAGCGGGGCTGAGAGTTGGGTGTGTGGAGGAACTAACCTAGACACTCTGGCTCCCTCCTCTCTCTCTCATTCTTTTACACTGACTTTGGCTACGTGCATGAGGCTCACCGCCGCTATAGCCATGTAGGACTTCCCTATACTCAGTTATTATGGTGGAGCCCCTCCAATATGGAGATTAATGGTATATACACAAGCAATGCTCCCTCAAAAGTCAATGAACCACGAAGAGTCGGTGACCATAATTATTTAAGGGCTGTATTTTGCATCCAAGAAAAAGAGAAAGTACTTTTTATTAGAGAGGTGTCTTCATTTGAGAGGTGTCCTAGTAGTGATAGTTCAAATCTAAGCTGGTTAATCACGTAAAAGGAGTGGGGCTGAGAGAGTTGCAATAATATTATAGAGTAAAAGCCTCAGCACTTATGTTCTTGGTGATGAAATGCAACCGAAATGCACGACACAACCTTCAATGCAGCAGACACGGAATTCTATTCATTGTTACACTTATGCACGTGACTAGTACATACTACAATGGTGGTCTCTCTGTTAACCAAATAGGATCGGCCATTTTCTTTTACTATACTATGCAATAGACGTGGATAGAATGGCATTGTGTCAATTTGTTACTTACACACAATTCAGCATTATGGTATATAGCTAAAGAGAGGACTACTATGGATGTCACAGAATAGAGCAAACGATGGAGAATCAGTTTAGGTATGAATGTTATCATAGTAGGACTGCACTGCTTGCGCAAAATTTCTATCTCAATAAATATTACAGTACTGAAAACTAGACGCAAACTGTTTGATTTTTATACTATCAAATTGACAGAGGGTGCGTACAATATGGATCCATAGCTACGCAGCATGTACTGATGAATGCCTCAGAAGAGACAGAATGTCTGGGAGCACATGTACTAAGGAATATCAAGAACCAATCAAAGACTAGTTTGTTTCCCAACAAATGCAAAGTATCAGGTTTAACCGCTGGTGGCGGGTGTCCTCCGCATATTGCAATTATGCCAGCGTGAGCCCATAACATATTATGACAAATTGTTAACTATTGTAGTGATTCCTAAAGGCCAACATCAACTTGGTTGCAGGTGAGGCAGAGTCTCGTGCAACATAATATGACGTATGGCAACAATGATGATCGAGTGGTACAAACACAAATTTGTTTAAAACAAGAAAACAAACATGTACATTATACTGAACACAACATTGTACTAACCTTCTATATGTTCTCGTCCATAGAGCTTTATCTGGAGAATCATCTTCCCAGATGGTCTCATGTCCAACTGCACCAGATAACAGAGACAACGGCAAATGCAAAATAATACAGATGAAATAATCTCCCATTTTTTTGCACTTTGCGAAAACTCTTTGCAGCATACAGGGGACAATGCAGAATCCCACCCAGAGCAGCTCTTATAAATTATTTCCTTGGTAATAAGAGCTGTCCTGGGGGCCTTGTTTGTTTTGCCTTTGCCTTTCTACCTCGTTGTCGACACATGCCATCCAGCACCTGAGAAAACTTTTCCCAGTTAATATGTGGGACTGTTTGCCAGAGTGTTTAGCTAGCATGCTGGTGATATGCTGTAACCAGATAGCCTCTGTGGAATGATGTGGTGAATTCTTGAGTGAAAACAGTTATGACTCTGCTTTATACAGTAGAGCTCGGTGAGTGACTGCGGCCTCGCAGCCACATCAAACACAGTCTTCAGGATCTGCTCAAATGCATAGCTACGTGGGGGTATTTTGTGGGATAGAGGATCGATAACGTCACATACAGTATATACTAGCAGACAAGAGAGCATTTCTCTCACTTCTATACCATGTACATGTACGTATCTATGAGAACCCATAGACTAGTAGCTCGACCACATTCTAAGGACAGAAGCTCTTAGCACTATCAACTTCTACACGGCATTTTGAATCCTTGCACAGCTCAGATAAGTAGCTTTGTAGCATAGTTAAACACTCCTCCATATGTGACGTATATAATTATATACAGCATGCATCCAGGCAGGCAAGGGTGAGGCGCACACACCCATTAGGGTGGTTTGGCACAGGTTCAAACTCAAGCTCCTGGCCATTCAAGAGGCAATCAAAGACACGAGGACTCTCGCTGCTCCCACACATCTAATACACACATGTTTTTTGTGTTAATAATCGTTGCCAGCATCGGATAAACCCTCGCATTACGAGTAATTAAGGCCTCTAATGACTAGCCACCGCACTCACTTGTACAATTTCTGCTTGCACACACACTCGGCGAGTATAATGCTATATTTAGAGGGTCCGTGTGGTTCTTGAGACGCTCTCAGGATCAGCACTTGAGCTAAGAGCTCCGAATTAGGGAGACATGGTATCAATATACTGCTGCACGCTCAGCTTTTCAACTGTACACCAGCTATAAAGCTTCTGTTCCTACTGTAGGGACCAATCAAAGTCTAGCTATAATTATACTAAAAAGACTTGAGTCATAATTTTGTCAAGCTGCATTACAGAGTCGCCGTTTCCTTGCCTCCCCTAGAGGGAATCGTTGTACATGGTCCAGGTATATAGCAAGGTTTCTACAAGCAAACCCAATGTTTTGATTGCGACAGAGCTAGCTAGCTAGCTCAGTACAGCCCAGCTGCTGTCGGGCGTGCAGACTTGCAGTAAACATATACACACAAATTACTGCACGACTCACAGCAAGTTTTACGGCACTGCCTTCCTCTTCTGCCATGCACTCCGTCGCCAACGCCTCCGTCTCCACCGTGACTTCGGCCAGCGGGCGGAGGGACGACTCAACGCGATCGTTGACTATGATCTGCATCCGTCGCCCGGGCTTCAGGTGGGAGTCGAAGCAGCGATCCCAGTCCGGGCAGAAGGTATTCTTCCGCTGCTCCAGCGTGACGCTCCCATCTCCTCCCGCCACGGCCTCTTTGATGTTGACGGAGCAAGTGGGATCAGTCGGCTTTATGTGGTCCACGATCGCCTCCAGCAGCTTGATCCGTAGGAACGCCATGATTATAGTCAGTAGTACTAGGATTCAGCAGCTTTACACACTAATTATACTGTTTAGAATGCAGGTTTTATTGTCATAAAGCAGCTTATAAAAGTGGGCGTTGCTTTCATCTTAATGGATCGCACGCATGCGCATAACTTCCAACAATTAACGTTAATCGCGCGCGCGTAGACTTACGAATACACATGCGCTTAATTTTTAATAAACCACAACAACGAGCAAAAAGTGTGTCTCTGGTAGAGTGACTTGTCACATAGGGGGAGGAGGTGGTGGTGGTGGGGGAGGGGGAGCTCCTGCCAAACAAATACATGTATTCATTGGCATCGCTCACACACTATTATACAGTGTAAGCACTACAAATAAGGACACCTCACTATTCCGTCCCATTGTCCAGATTACACAACATACACCACTTAGTGGTATTATGGCATCATAATAATGTGTGGGTTCATGTGACGGTCATGTGACAGACCTCCTCCAGAGGTATCAGCAGATGGTGGAGGTGGTGGTGGCGGTCCGGAAGACCCTTCTCCTCCTTCTCCTCCTCCTGGGACACAAACAAAAATACAAACTTACTGTGTACTAATACACTTTTTAAAAATTGAGAATGTGTCTGCCACACTGTATAGTATAATATGTATGAGTGAGGTTGAAATAACCATCAGCTCTTGTCTCGGGCAATGCTCAGTGCACTAGCCTCTATATACACATGTGGGACAAAAGCTACATAAGTTGAACATATGCTATGTAGCCCGTTCTCTTCTCTCTCATTACGCCTGTGCCTGTAGAAATCATACTGTACGTGCGTGGTTTTTGATCTGCCCTTCAAAAGCCACACATGAATTTGTGCCATTATTACATACAGAGTCCCATCGTAAGGCCGGGTAATGTGGAGGATGTGGTGTCAAACCTTCAGCCGCAGCCGCAGCCTCTTTGTCCTTCTTCTGCTTCGTCTCCTCCTCAGCCGTGAGGTCTGCTCTGAAGAATATCCGGGCACTGCTCAGCGAGTAGTTGAGTAGCTCAAACTCCTGCACAGAGAGAAGAGAGAGGGGGGACTGAGCTTGTGATGAGCCAGCCAACTAAGGCCCTCGGTTTGTGATGGATACCACTCCAACATGCCGCAAAAGGCCAATATACACAATGGTCGCTGTTGCAGAAGAGTCCCATGCACTGCCCTGGTAGCTCAGTTGGTAGAATGTTCGCCTAGACTGCAGAGTGTCGTGGGTTCTAATCCCACCCAGGGCAGCTCTTCTTCTTTTCTTTGAAAAGAAAGAGCTCTCCTGGGTGTAGTTGACTTGTTTGCCTTGCCTTGCCTTGCCTTTCTACTTCGTTACCAAGTTGTTGAGACATGCAACTGTAATGTGCAGTGGGTAAGATGGATCCATGTAAGACTGTATATCGCATGGTGGTGTATCTTCCACCCAACTTGCTGCCTGACCCCATCACCCCCATATCATACACACTGAACTTGGATGAGATATGGAACAAAGTTGCATCCTGTATGCCTTAATACAGTTGGTTTCTTGACTATTGCAGCTGTGGCGCTTGTAATCACTCCACCAAAACTGTACACAATTCGTTTACTATTTACAGGCAAAACAAGTGGGGGAGGGCACGAGAAGGCATGGCAGGAATTAAGACAGTTCAGTGAAATATGGGGAGAGGCTCCAGAAAATATGGTCGTTTTTCTGTCTTTTTGCGGATGACTTGGATGCTTTACCGCCAACAAAAGACACGCCCACAAAGGAAACCTTTGACTGACATAAAATCAAAGATATATGTACCCATCATAATATTGGTGGCACTTCAAATTTCACATTCTTGGTCTTAACAGCATTGTCGTTAACATGTCAAGACATTGAATGGAGACTAATGCTAGTTAGAAACCTCATTACATCAAAGCACCCTATCATCTAACCTACACACAGTTGTAGTCATTTGCACACAAAGGGATCGAGCTGTTTACAGATATGTATGGGTTTGTGCCTCAGACTCACCCTCTGGTAGCTCTCCAGTCTCTTGATGGACAGTTGTATGGTCTGCTGGAGCTTCTCGTCTGATCTATTCCTCTCACCACTTCTCTGTACTGCTTGCTGCACACACCAGAGAGAGAGAGGTTTTACAAGTCAAAGCTCTCTCGGCCCAGATGGTTTCCAATGGGTATTTTGAATAACGTGACTGACCATTTCAGCTCTGTACTTGGCGTGAACTGACTGGAACCAGTGGAGAGAGTCAAATGCATGGTACTGGTCCACCAGCTTCAGGATGTAGGCCACCACCTGGACACAAGGATACGTAGACAACAGTCACATGTAGAAAACACCATGTGATGCCAAGAGAAAAAAAGATGCGGAGCTCTGGACAACTGTTTCGGGCTTGTTGGCCCTCATCAGTAGAGCAACCGCAACTTTTCTCTCTGGCATCACGAGTTCATAAAGGCTGCCATGAGCGCAGCACTTGTGGTTTTGAACTAATGAGATTCATCCCCACAAGGCATTGCTCAGGCTGTACGTAGGAGGGAAGGAACAAGTAGAAGAAGAAGCAGAAGCACAATGGAAAACAAGAGATTCGCTATGAAACGCACACAAACATACACATTCGCTGACAAACGAGCCATGGATAAGTTAGGGGCATAACGAAACTTGAAGTTGCAAATAATACTGTACCACCAAATGCTTGAGGCACAAAATTTTCAGGTCGTGTTGAGATATTATGCGTAAAGAACCTGCAGTATGGTAACCTGGTGGGCCAACAGTCAACACTTGTACTTTGAAATTGATCATTAGAAAGTCACTGACAAATTACAGGGATATTACAGGGAACATACCCATAGAGAATCCATCATCAGTGAAGGAAGCTCCCTGCTTGTTCTTCTTGTTCATACGGTCCTTTGCCACCATCATGTACTCCACATAGTTCAGCGTCTGGACACACAGAGAGACAAATTAATGAACTTCAATCGTAGAGTGCTCGCCTAGACTGCAGAGTGTCGTTGGTTCGAATTCCACCGCCTAGGGCAGTTTTTTTTCCTGTGAAAAAAGCGCTGTCCTGGGTGTAGTTTATATGTTTGTTGTGCCTTTGCCTTTCTATATATCTCGTAGTTTTCATGTTTCGTAATACAGTATATGGACCTCTAAAGAAGTGTTAGGAGATTAAAATACACTACACATATATAATATAATACTTAAGGGTGTGCATTCACACCGACACACACAAATAGATCATTTCTCCGATGTTCTTGCACTTTATATTTATGCGCATATTACCAGTGTGCTGTGGACACACTAGGAGCTGTAGTGTACAAAAAGATATCTTTACCAGTGGAGGTACGACCATGTAGAAATTCTGCAAGTGTCTGTTTTTCGGATTCCGGAAGACTGGGCTGAACACGTCAACCAGCAGCTGGACACACACAGTAACAATACAACAACAGTTGTATATTATTATACTCTCAGGTAGACCTACACACTATGTATGTAACACGTCTAGCCCGTTTTGCACACCATAACATAATTATGGACTCCAGTAATGCAGCTAGGAGCTACGTATGTGCATGATAGATCAAGAAACTAACAAACCGTGAGGCCAATCAATTAACGGTACATTCCTCATTGTGTGGTATGTATAATACATGCACTAAACTGTAGTAAGGCCAGGAATGGTAGTGGGGACAGCTACCGAAAACTATCCCTATGAAAAAGAACAGGGCTTCTTCAAACACGATCTGATGATATTTTCATGAAACAGAAATTGAATAGCCCCACCACCCCGAACCCATATCCAAAGTCACCACTTCAGCTTGGGAGGGGTTCTTGTGCGTGCGTGCTGCTATTTCCTCCTCCTATGTTGATTGGTACTATACGTAGCTACGACATCAGTGAGCATAGAAACCCAACCTAATCGTCCCAAAAACTCTGATTTTAAACTGCCAAACCACCTGAGTGTATAAAGTATCATACTGTGTATGCAGGAGCCCAGTGAGAAAAGCCGCTTTGAACGCAACCTGAACCCATCGCTAACAATATCATAGCACACACACACAAATATTCAATAGCCTTTTCCCAAACTCTCGTTGTCAGGCACACAAAGTCCCCCACACAGTGGGGGGTCATCTACATATGTACGTATGTAGTATGTATATCTAATGTGTGGGTAGAATAATACACACTATCCCTTTGCTCTGGTGACTTATACCTTGAAGTACTCGGTGCCCTCTGCAAAGTTCTTGGCAAGATTGCCCACCACAGAGTCAAAGATCCTAGGAGTCGAACGAACACTTGTCACACGAGGTTTAACACATGAAAGAGGGTTCACTATCGGTATATACAGGCCTGATTATGAATCCGCGGCTACAAGTCTGGAGTACCCAGTTGGCAAGCAAAGTGTCCAAATTAGTCAAAATTATAAGTGATGTATTTCTATTTAAATTCTGTGCCACACGTGATGATACACCAGCGAAATCTTCAAAAGTATGTACCGCTATATTATTTTCTTGCTTAATGTAGTAATGTATGTATGGCATATGTACTTGGATGCAGTGACAGCTTCAGAAGGCATGTCAGCTTTCTGGACCATCTCACCAAACTCAACAATGTCCTCCAGATCTGGAACAAACCTAAAGTACAACATACATACCGTTTGCACCCTTCAATGCATTCTAATTCCACACACAATCAAGTTGCGGGCATGTTGCTAACAACTGGAAGTTGGCAGCTGCGGACAGTAAGGATGGAGGGAGGCAAAATGACCCTTCTATGCATTCTTCCTTGGCCTAGTATGCACTCTTATAACTTCAGGCCCAATTGTATGTAATATGAAGTTTGCAAAATGCCTGCCAATGAACGTATTATGAATGACAAATCTATCATCATCGTATATACCTGATGGCATTACTGCAGCAGTGTAGACCACCTGACCTTATCATTCTGATGTACCCCATGGCATTGCCTGCGGTGCACAGCAGAGGAGTAGATGTACAGTATCAAGGAATATAAAACATGCTCATTCCCTTCACAGGCAAAAACTACAACGTGCAAATCTCAACAAAGAGAGAAAGCCCAGTCGGAAACAACAGTCAGTAGATCCTACGTAATGTACAGCGGGTTTATTAAACTCCGTAAATTTCTGCTCAAGTCTCAATTCATTCGCAGGCACACACATTCACCAGGACACACCACTTTTTTCATGGGGTAAAACATGAATGCAACATTTTGCTCTGTTGCTCTGAGAAAAACAGTACATTATATCCAAACAGCCGTTGGTTTGTTAAGTGATTACCAATCTGTGTGATGAGGATTCTGAACTGGTCGAGGTAGCTGAGGCCGTCTGGACTGACTCCCAGTTTACGGATGACTTTATTGAACTTCTCTGCTCTCTCCACCGGATACTATATATATGGGATCAGTGAGAGAGGGGCGGAGGGAGAGAGGGTGGCAGGAAGAGAGATAGAGGAATGAGGGAGAGGGTGAGAGAGATGGTAGAGAGCGGTAGGAGCGAGGAAGAGAAGAAGTGGAAAGGAGAGAAGGGATAGGGAGAGAGGGACAGAAAGAGGAGAGTAAAGAAGGAGAGAGTGAGAGTATGTAGGATGAGACAGAGAAAGAGGAGATAGTTCATCAATAGTGCTCATGGAAAATTACCCGCTGCTCAATCTGTAGCCTTGTCTCCTTGTAGAATCGAATCTCCTGCAATAGGCAATAGAAACACACGACAGAATATGAGACGTTCACATTCTGGTTGAGACTAAATAGTATGCTGTGTGTCAGGTCTATATGATGCCAACCTTGAGGAGTCTGGCCTTGATATATTCATCATACATGAACTGAGAGAAGATGAAAAACTTCTTCCGCAGAAACTGGTAGGTAAAGTTGACCTGTAACAACAGCAGAGAAAAACACAAGTGCACTTATTAAAGTGTTAATGTAAGTAGTACATGACCCTAAAGACATGACTGTACACACTGTTTTGGTAGCATCCCAACTCGAAATCTCGATGAGTGCGTTTTGAATTCCAATCGTGCCGTTTATGCATGAAAGTTTTACCCAAGAAATTTTCCCGAAAAGAGTAATGTACAGCATACATAATACACAAACCTCCACAACGTATGTACTGAAAAGTTTGTTTGGGAAGTTTTTTCCAACAGTAAAGTGTGTGAAAGGAGTGAGTGGGTGTGGCTTACGGTGGTGTTCATGATGCCAGTTCCGTGGGTCCTAATGGAGTTTGCGATGTGGCGGATGTTGATGGTGTTGAGGTGTTTGTTGTTTGACTGCCTCTCCACAAATATCTGTTGTACACACAACAATCTCACGTCGTGTTTTTGGCCCATGGCATAGTGGAAACATACACATTACGATTCAAGACTTTTCCCCAATGCTTCAGTTTGGCTGTAGAGCCTACTGAAGTATATATGTATGTATGTATGTATGTGTGCACTCTCATGCAGGACATATAGAAAATGCAACGCATACATACACCGCAAAAGAGTAGCTTTATGCGGTTTCATTCACAGTTTTAAGGTCACTCTCAGTTATAGAATCACGTATACATAGGACATTACTGCAAGAATAGCAATTACGGATTAACCGTTTGGGCGCCATAGGTGTCTCCTTAAATAAGCAGAAATTGATGTATAACATATTAGCGCCTAGTATTATAGCCATATATAAATTCTTATGCACTTATGGAGGCTCTGTGCATATGTAAATTGCGCCCAAAGGGTTAAATGTACATAGAAGGACGCAGTTCAGACTAATTCTCACAAGAGAGTAACACAATAGTGGTATTGCTGTACTGTGCATGTTGTATGTAGTATACCTGGTTGTTGAGATTGTATGAGTAGTTAGCCACAAACACGTGGATATTCCTCATTATCTCCAACACATCCAGACCCTGTATATACCAGGAGGATATACAAAATATAACCCCCAGCCCCTACAATAACAACCCTGCTATGAACATGGCACCTACGTATGCAGAGCATAATTCTATCGCATGCGCACAAATTTTGGTCAAATGTGGCACACCTTACAAATATTTCTTATGACTGCGTGGAACAGAGTACATACAATGTCTACCAGAATACCAGTAGACCTACATCTGATTGGTCACTGGTGTATTATAGAACGCGGTGTCACCTGCTCTAGAGTGGCAGAGGGAAGGTGCGGCTCCATCATGACGAGGCCGTACTTCTCCTCCGCGAGGCTTCGCATGTCACCGTACGTCTTCCAGTCGTGAAGAGCCACCGTAGTCAGGTTGTAGAACGTGGTGTCCAGATAGTGGGTCACATGGGCTGGGGAGGAGGAGGCGAAGGGAGAGAGAAACGATGACATTTCAGGAAAACGATAGGATACAAACTTGCAAATAATATAGATCCTTTACAACCCTACACAGGTTTCAGGCCACGTATGTACGTTCATACATACATAGCTACTATTCTCAACCCTAAGTCCCAGGTGCTTGAAGGAACTTGGAACTTGGCACAGGCAACCTGGTGCATGATCGTCAGTCGGTGTTTAAGCGTCTACACATGTTCCCCTGCTGAACTGCCCTGGTAGCAAGTGGGGTACTCTACACTGCCAGATTGCATTATAGTGTTATGGGTTCAAATCCCCACCCAGGGCAGTCCTAAAGGTTTTCTTGCTAGCTTTGCCTTTGCCTTGCAACTGTTTGCTGACACATGCATCAATATTATATGTATCTGCACACAAAAGGCGTTCTGCAAACATGTGATGTAACACAGGTTGCCAAGGTCCCAGACAAGACGCAGACGGAATTCTTCCACTCAAAACACAAACGGACTTATTCGTGTACACAATATCAGGTCTATCACGTTAGCCTGTGGTTTGCAGACACAACTATACATGTACCTCGGATGTCAATGTGTCTGTCGAAGAACCGAATCGGCTTCACTTCCATGAAGTGTTTTAGGTCGTGCAGCCCAACCTACATAGCAGCAAGAAGAAATGTGCTAAAGGGAATAATGTCAGTAGGTAAGGACTAAATTTAGAAACAGTAAAGGAAACTTAACTACATATGTACATTCTGCACTGGGCCCTATTGCTATCTTTAGTAACATTTCTAACTATTGCCCTAATATGTACTGCCACATTGAGAAGTAAGCCCTTATGGTTTATATGTACATGTTAATTGTAGCCCTTCTGAAGTCCTGTTTTACTTCTCTTTTTCTTTCTTCCTTTCTACGTAGCATGAGCTGTTCCGTTTTCCCCTCTCATCCTCTCCCCGTGGCCCTACACACCTTGAAAGGGTTGCGGTCGTCCAGCTGAAGATGAAGATGAGAACTGAGTCTCAAGTCCTTCTCCACGTCCTGACACAGTGGCTCCAGGACACACCTCTTCATGTGACCGCTCACCTGAACCAACAGCAGACACACATGAAGGAGATGAAGGAAGGATGTTGTACATACCGTGTGCATAGGGGGATATATACTCCATAGGGGGATTCCCGGCCTCTTAGACCTGTTCAATAGGCTTCCCATACCCACGCCAGACCAAAAACAACGGTAGTATTCTTCCCTTCTTGGGTGGAGGGAATGTGCATCTTTAGCATGGGTGCGGGGACACCTTCGCACCATAAAACAAAGTTGTGACCATAAACTATATACACCAGTCTGGGGAATGTACATGGTTATGGTGTGCGTGGGTGCGCGCGTATGGGTGAGGAATGGGTTAATATACTACACTGCTACGTAGATGGTGCAGAGAGATCACATCAACGTTTTGCGATGCCTCCATTCCCTGTGATGTGACCTTGGAGCAATTTCGAAAAAGTATTACGAATTTTGTTCGCGAACCACTGCAAACAAATTATTGTGTTGCTTATATCATCAGACACCCATATGTATAGGGTTTTAACCCGTGCCTTGTCAGAGTGTCAGGGTGGATGGGGAGTGAGTAAACCTTATTATTGGGGAGTGAGTAAACCTCTTTGCCAATATAGTGACATGATTGCGAGAGTGGATATGTGAACTAATGCATATAATTCTGACCTCTTTGTCAAAGAGATCTAGGAGTACAGCAGGGCTCTCTTGGTGCCTGCTCCATTTGATGGAAGGGACACAGTCTCGCAGGGCAGTGAACATGTACTACAGCAGTGGGGAAAACAGACACAGTAATAAATATACACTTCAATCAGAATTTTAGCTTTACTATGCACAGTACATGTATGTTACATACAGTAACAATTTTGGCAGCCATTTTGAAAGCTCGATGCACAGTTGGAAACATTTGGCGGTGAGATTGCAGGAAATAGACCTAAAAGTGTTTGGCTCAACAGTGCACTGATCGCGCGCCGGTGGTTTCAAAATTTCCAACTGCACATTACCAAATTGAGTTTTAGTTGTACATGTACATATGTAAATGTTGTACAAATGTAGTTCGTTCCCCTCTTTGGAGAAGTATTTATTTACATGCAGTTTGTTGCTCTTCAACCGCAACTTCGCACAATAACGTCTCCGTAATTTCGCTAGGGTATATGCTAGTGAAGGTATTAGACCAATGTCATGTACACATACGTACGTGTAGTCTGTGGGAGTCAGTTGGATGTTCATAGATGTCAGTCAGGTAGAGTGGCACCAGAACATCCTGAAACGTACAGAACAGTACACACGATGAACTGTACACACTGCACAAAATGCCGAGTGCACGTGTACGTATGTATGTAAGTATACACATGTATGTATTTATGTATGTACCTTATGCCAGTAGAGAAAGCTGCAATCACACATCTGCTGCACTCTGCAGGGAAACAGGAAAACGAAAAGCAAACCCTTAGACAATGCTCATTCCTAATAGTCACACCGTGGGAGCTTTCGACGGTGATTTAGTGGTAAAGTTTGCCTATTAACCCTTATACAAATCATCTTAGGACACAAAATTTCCAGGTACTATGAAACACTCACAGACAACTTTAAAACCTGACAGATTTTGTTCCCTCCTCAAGCTCGTGCGTATGTATGTACATTCAATGTATGTACCTGAGTCTTAGTTCACAGACTGCGTCCAACTTTCGTAGGAGACTCGGCGTCCTTTCGTCATCCTTCTGCTGTGGGTCGGGATTATTCATGAGGTAAATCACTGCATGTAGTACGCAGTGCACTCGAATGCACGCAACACACACTTACTGGCAGTGTAAAGTGGTAGGCTAGTCTTGCCACCAGCCTCCTCTCCTTGGTACCTGTGTACACATTTAGAAGATTTGTGACGCATATACGAGGCTAAGGGAGGTATGCCCACCACTGAAACATGATTCATATTTCATGGCAATTCAAATGGAAGGTGGAGCAGATTCCAACAATTGCTACTAGTGCAGTACCGAGGATGTAGCTCGCTTATGTACTTTGAAACTACTGTGTATTGTTTATAGTACATACAGCATTGATATAATACCGCTCACCAGGTCCATTGAGAACGGTTTTCATCAATGTCTGTCCTGCCAGAATGTCCTGTGACCAGAGAACGTGCATAGAGGTGCAACACATGTAAATAGACCGCGATCGGTTTGTAACTCACCAGAGCTCTCTCCGAGTAGCCTCTTGCCTGTGAGTCTTGAATGTATCGCTGTATGTACGTACATACATCAATGAATTACCAGTAGCTCCGAATTGTACACGAGCAAGGTATACATGTGCACAAATATGTAAGTATGGGCTGTAAAATACGAGGGAGCGTCACAATTCTTTCACACACGCTGAAAAGCGTAGACACACATGTAAAAGGGGGTCGGACACACAAGTGAGGATGCACTGTGCACATGACTTCCCCCTCATTAAGTTCATTTGTGTTCCCACTACATATGTACTGTATGTATGTATGTATGTACCTACCATAGAGGTCTCCAACATGAGAAGAAGGCTCAACTCATAGTGGTTGACTATATGAGTGATGTACGTCGCAACTGTCATGCTCTGTCGGTGGAAGGTGTACTGAATACACTTCAGCAGCTCTATCAGCTTGCAGATGGCCAGGACTCCAGACCTGGTCATTGGCTTCCCCTGCTCCGAATGGAGGTTGAGCGTCGTCCGAACTAGGTTCCCGATATTGTAGGACAGCAGCATGCCCTGTGATGTGGGAGGGAGAGAGTAATAGAGAGTAAAAGGGGAAAAATCCAAAAAAGTCTAACAATGTGCATACCAAAAAAAACAGTGGACATTTTACTGAGAAAACCTAAGCTCTCAAACCTCAAACAGAGTTTCTAGTACACGTCAAACAAGAAGGCGTGAATGCTCATGTGTATGTATATATATATATACAGTATATAACACAAAAACCTTTTGCTTTTAATGCTTATGTGCATAGATTACAAATTGGACAACCAACGAACACAGAGAATTAATTTGTCTCCCCTCCCCTCACTATACAGATGTCATTCTATCATGAACACACACACACACACATTACCTGTATGAAGAGGGAGGCTCTGGAGTTGACCTCGATCTTGTGGAGCTGTTTGGCACTGGTGTCTCTGGAGGAGGAACCCGTGAGGTCGGACTCCATTCGAATCATCCACACAGACACCTGCGTGTAGAACATCTGGGCCAGCCTGAGGAAAAGGGGGGCGGTTTATGTAACGTTTTTGTATACGAATTTCTTTTTAGTTGTGCTCTAGCTACAAGTGGAAATTGAAAATGAAGGGATATGACCAGTGTCATCCATCTGTAGAGCGTCTCACCCGAGAGTCCACCAAAGTTACTCAGCTGACCTGGGTAGGTTGGGTCCGCGGTCTGAGAGGTAGAGTTTGATGGACTCGGCAGGATGTTGCAGCTGCTTCCTCTCCACCACCTTCTTGAGGTAGGGGAGGTTCTGATGCATGAAGACGTTGTGTGACCACAGCAGGTTTCCCACCACGTGGATCACTGGCAACTGCACACACGGGAAAGACGGAATACAAAAACACATGATTCCCAACATGGAAATGGTTTACCCAGTATTAAACAGCACCGCTCTTATGAACATATACCAAAATTTTTGGCCAAACTACAAATATTTTCTCGCAGTTCATAGTCACATACACATACTCGAAAAAGTCTAAATAGAAGGTGTACGTATGCAGTATATCCATGTAAGAACTAAAAAAGGAATGTGTGAAAAAAGTGCCACCTGTGAGGCTCGAACTCACGACCTTCAGATTATGAGACTGACGCGCTGCCAACTGCGCCAAGGAGGCAGCTGTGGGCAACGACCCCAACTCACACTCAAGACAGGGAATGCAAACGTATTTAGCACACCTCAACGTTACACAGTCCAACTATTGTCAAAGCATTTTGGATGGACGGTTAGTTTGTACTTTCCCTCATGTGGTCAGGAAAAACGCAAAACCAATTGTAAATTTCAAGGGTCAACCACTATTCACTCCAGCTATAGAGCATTGAGGATGGTAGGTATTAAAAAGGCAATGTTAACAAGGAGAACATGTATCTAAGTAACTTTATGTGGAACACAATTCATGCTCAACTCTACACCGTCACTGGCTGACTGACCTTCTTGTGCAGGTCCCACACTTGTTTGGTGAGTTTTGTGTCGTAGGTGTTGTATATCTGGTGCTGTAGGACCAGGAGACAGCACAGAGCCATCACCTCCTGCCTCTGGCCAGACTCATTCGGCTCTCCTACATACATACGTATGTACACCACACAGTGGATGGGTGAGTTAGGATACCGCAAGCTGGACATGTTTGCAGATAATAGTATTGGTCGCGTGAAGCGAGCCAATCCTAGTCGTCTGAATTGCATGATTTGTCACTGGCACTGCCTATACACACCATACCATAAAACATGCGAAAGAAAATTGGAGTTCGCGTGTTCGCTTGCAAAATTGTTCGTTCTAGTATTTTTGCTGTTTGTGGCAGATATTGCACTGGAAAACCATTGCACCATAGGCATGATGGGCAGTACACGCAAACTACAGAGTACGTACCTTGTACATCACGATCAAGGCACCACACAACTTCACTGTACGTCACTCTCCTTGAGAGTCTAGTTTTCCTATGTATTTCTAGCAGAAACTCTGTTGTACAAAGCAAATTGGCTGATAACTATAGCTATGCTCCTAACCGTATGAGCTCATACTGTCCTACTGTCTCGATAATGCAGTAAATAGCAAAGGTGTGTGTGAGTGTGAAATAAGAGTGAGAAAAAGGACTCACCAATCTTCTGGTCAATGGTGAGGAAGAAGAGTCTAATATTTGTGGCAAACTCCTCTGCCAGCGTGCCATTCTGGGTGACGCTCACCTCACGAGTGTCAAATATCTGAGTCACACAGTTCTGCACACCACACACACACAGACACAGACACAGAAGCACACACAAAATTATTAATGGGTTACTGTTGCAGTACAGTTCCATATGCATGCAATTAACATTCACTTGCCATGGACACAAAAAGCTGCCACGCCGGAAGTAGGCATATACCCTTTTCTACCTACACATCCATCAACTTTCCATGGTATGTATGTACATACATATGTGAACGTACATTGTGTACAATGAGACACACGACAGATGTGGTGAGATTTAATGAGACACACACGACAGATGTAGTGAATGGCAGCTCTGAACCTATCGTACCCTGAAGAGCTGTCCTTCCATTAGTTTTCCTTCGAGATTCTGCAACAGCTTCTCAAAAGGTTTAAGTCTACTTGGTTCCATGCCGTACTCTGTAGGCGCTCCCTTGATAGAGGTCAGCACTCTGGATAAAGAGACAACAATCAGCTTTTATCCCTACACCAGATAGTAGTTAGGGAGAAAACCTGCAGTTCACAAAATTTTCCCAGTTGGCAGTGACCATTTCGAGGGTATATACTAGCAATCAACAAAAGTGACAGTTTATACGCTTGAAAGCTGTCACTCTTTTGAGAAAGTATCGTAAAAAGGAGGCATAAAAAAATGTGCCACCTGTGAGGCTCGAACTCACGACCTTCAGATTATGAGACTGACGCGCTGCCGACTGCGCCAAGGAGGCAGCTGTGGGCAATGGCCACAACGTAAAGCAGTCAATCCGACTCAAGAGAGCATGGTTCATTTGAGCAGTACACAAACAGAAAATTGTCTATGTACACAATACGTACATTGTAGTGGGAAACATGGGGTATGCACACACAAAATTTGTGGAAAGCATTGATCTCGAAACTTAAAATTTTTTCCAGGTTACATAGTAATTTTACTGGGCACCTTACCTCTTGTACTGGTTCCAATGCTCACGAAACGTGTCTCCAACGGTGAAGATGTGGTCGAGTGTCACAAGAATCGCTAGAGCTTTCCCGATGTGATGAAAAACCGTCTGTAACCAATAGCCATTGTATGAAAGTGTGAACAAGGCCAAGTATTAACTCACCGTCAAGTGGATTCCATTAGCATTCATCACATTTAGAGTCCTGTGAATACAGAATGCATGGTTGTCAGTTAAAATGTATTACACATGTTCATCGTTTTCTGTGCTATTTTCATGATTTCTCCCTAGGACGCTTCCTCTTTCTCCCCAACAAATGTTTAATGATTTTGCATTTCTTGCAAGCACGTTAGTTGAAGAAAAGACAAACCAACTATCCTCAAAGGTTTACATATTGTAGGAGTACGGAATGGTACAATTCACTTTAACCATAAACCACTTTACATACTGCTTTCGCTCCCACTTCAACTTTCACTTTAAAGGAGAGACCAAGCAGCATGTAAAGTTGTTAGTAACAGTAAAAGTAAATGTCACTATTCCATACTCCAACTATATGTAAACGTTTGAGGATAGTCGGTTTGTGTTTTCTTCCACTCATGTGTTTGCAAGAAATGCAAAATCATTAAGGGGAGAGAGGAGGAAGCGTCCTGGGGAGAATTCAAGAAGTGAATGTAAAAGTCTAATAAACCATGTGGGCTGTATTGCTATGTCTATCTGTATGTAAGTGGGTGTGTGCCCTACGTGTCAGCAACCGTACGCCTGTGTGCTGTGCAGGGAAGCAAGCTGCTGCAGAATGCTCTTCACCAGCTCTGAGATCCTGTTCACAAACATCGTCAGATCCTGTGCACCATCAACAGCATTATGATGAGCATAAAACCACTCAGTAACATCGCACTACAAAATGAAGCCTAAGGCAAGTAATGTGTCGCAGTGTGTGTAGAGCATCCACTATGAAATCAGTATTCAGGCAAATAAAGCATAGAAAGACAAACCAACAGTACACAAACGATCACACATGGATATGGTTTCGACTTAACTAATACAGGCAAGATTGACTATTTATCTGGTTCAGTAGTATACCTGTAAGAGTTGCAGCATTCTGCCCATCATTAGCTGGGCCTCTCCGTCTTGCAGTACTCCATCTTCACCTGCAGCAGATGTAGTTAGTCAGGTCAATAATGTCTCCCTGGAACATGTATGTACAATACATACCTGTCCCACCATCCCCATAGAGGAGTAGGGGGAGGTAGTACTTGGTCACAGCCTGTAAAGTGTTAGTGGAGGAAGTATCATTAATGTGTCAATGTGGTACGTGAAGTGTGCCTCAGACTAAACTTTGAGTAACTCTTTTGTCTTACACTCGTGTACCACTGTTTGTATGTGAAGGACATTATGTATGTATGTATGCACTCTCTACATTATTATTACATATGTATGAGCCTTGATTAATTATAGACTGTATAATCGTTGGCATGTAAGACACTGTACGTACCTTGCGAGCATGTTCATCAATCTCCAGGCAGAGAGCAGCAAACACTGTCACCACTTTGTTCAAAATCTAAACACGTGTACATACATCAATAAAAAGCCTCTCATACAGTATGTGATACTACATCAGTTGCTGAGCTGGGTTGTTATGGGAGCTGTGGGACTGTGGAGGAGAACAGCCTTGGCATATGGTGGCAGGTACTGTACCTTGTGATCTGTTCGGATCAGTTCCAATAGCGTCGCATGTTCGAAATGACCAGCCTACACAAATACAAGAAGAGACCTTGGCTGAACGGCGCTGCCTGACAAATTTTATAATAATGGCCACGCTATATGGCACAGTAGATTACACAAACGATCACGTTACAGCACAGATGCTGAATTCCACCTAGCATGAAGCAGGGGCTACATACATTCGACTTTCACAGACCTGTAGTGCAATGGGGTCGAGGGAAAAGTCCCAGGCCTCGCCAAACGTGTCGTCCAGAGCTGCCTGGATCCCGGCCAGTTGCTCCGTGTACTGCTGGATAAACTCCTCGTAGTTTTCCCTCTCCTTCTTTCCGGCCAACTCTGTAAGTCGACAGAAACACTGAAGATTGGGTCGAAATTCTCCGCTAAAGTCGTCTCTTCCAGGATCGTGCGGTAGCCAGTTTATATATCGAACGCTTGAGGAGTTTTTAACTTACGTAGAGTGCCGGAATCGAAGGCATCGAAGGTCCAACCTTTCTCTTCTCCAACCGTAGCCATCTTTTTCGCTGAGCCCCGCCCCCTTTGATCACATGACGAAGTTTACAACACCGAACCCCCCCGGCGCGGCCGGCCGCCCAGAAGCGGCGGCGCGCGGAGCCGAAATCTGGCGGGCAAGTTGAAATTCTCAGAAAGAAGACCATGTTCCTCACTCTTCTCTCTCTCGCCAGCTGAGCTACGATAAAGAGACACTAGTGATGAATTGGGTTGGAGGCATAAGGTGGGTGTATATGTACATTAGTTGTAGCAGTTGTGCATTATGTTATTCGAATTTCTGCACTGCAGAAGTAGAATACGGCAACAGGCAGAGAAGCAAAAACAACGGGTAGCACTATAGCAGACAACCATCTGCATTATGATTACGTCACTTCTCTTTCAGGAGTTCTTTGAGCGGAAGAGGCTGCAGGCCAAGGAGAAGAAGGTGGTCCAACCAAAGTCCCCTGAGGACAGGAGCATCAAGACCATCAGCAAAGACCTCCTCCACCTTCAGGCTGTCTCCAGGGCTTACGATGGCGCTATTGGTAAAGATACATCTGCAACTCACTGGTTGCGTGGTTCTTGTTCTTATGCAACATACGTTACTTATTCAACCGTATTAGAAATAGCTACTGTATTAGGCTATATAATTATACAGTTCAAACCTTCATCACATTCAGTGTCATTCTATAAGCTGTATTATGAACTTTAGATGATGATGAGGCAGCCCTCTCTCGAGTGAAGAGACTCAAGCTGACTGGTCCTTGTAGCCTGTTGCCAGACAGACACCTCCCCCTCCCCATGTCTCCCATCAGGAAACCCTCGGCCCTGGAGTTCCAAGAGGTCAGCGGTGGCACCGAGCTCTCCTCCATGTTTGCGATTCGCCGTGTCCCACGAGTGTCCACTCAGAAGTTGCCTCATCTCACGGCCCTCAACAGTTTCGGTCCAGCTCTTCCACAACAGGCAGTGGTGGCCTCACGGAAAAGAGAGAGCCGACATGACATAGGTTTATCGTCATCTCTGTGGACAGAGTCCGTTATTCCAAGGAGGGACCCTGAGGAGATTGGCGATTTGTCAATGGCATCTTCGTTCATGAACGAGTCCCTGGGACCTCGAAAGAGGTTCTCAAGAAGGGAAGAGTGTGAGAGGGAGAAGCCGGGAAAACAGCCAGTCATAGAGTGGCCGGGAAGACCACCAGTCAGGGGGAGAGTGGTACATAGGAAGCAAGGCCAGATGTCTGGAATGAGGTATCTGGACAGGAAGACAAAGAGAAGGCCACTGGTGGCAGAGAAGAGCTTTGATCGCGAGGTATTCTACTGCAAAACAGGCTCTTACTATTACCAGGAAAAAGGATGGTTTTTCGTTTCCCTAGAGTTAAAAGGCCATCTGGCCTTGGGTTCACGCATGAACCTTGGACAAATGTATGGTCCAGGAAAGATTTAGATACTTTTTTGTTTGTTTTTCTCAGACTCCTTTCAATTTTGGGCCACATCCACTGGATATGGAGCAGGAGAGCCCTGGGAAAGAGCTGCCAAAGACAAACGCAGCTCTGCTGGATTTTCATGCCAGTGAAAACCATTGTGAAACACAACAAAACGTACGGCACTGCTGCGTCGTTTCTAGTCGTCTTAACGCTTTTGATAGGTTTGGGAAGGCTAAGGTGCAGAAGGCCACGGCGGGAGTTGCCAGAAAAGAAATTGGCAAGAACTTTGCTGTTATGCTAGATTGGGAAGACCCTGGCAATCATCAGGCTGATGCTGGAACCGAGTCAGTCAGGAAAACGGACCATGAGTGGGACTCCATCACTCCACACCACCAATGCAGGTGTTGTGTGCAGAATTATCGCTGCAGCATAATGTGTTAACTTCTCCCTTATAGCTCAAACACCACAGTGACTTCATCTGAAAATCCACTGTCCAGGAAGGTAACTTAAGGAAAAACCAGCTCTTGTATGAGTTGTAGCTCAGTGCCTGCTACTGGACACCCAGAGTTTAAATGCTGACCAGCAGATTTCGTGTCGACTCATAACTTAGTCTTAAATGAAAAACTAACCGTAAAGGAAGTTTGCTTAAATTGATAGCTATCTGCCACCAATAGTCCCTCTCTCTCTCTCTCTCTCTCTCTCTCTCGTGTGGTTTTGTGAGCAAGTTGAGGTCTAGAAACCCATTTCAGTGCGTAATTTTCTTCTTACTCCCTGACTATAGGCTCGACCGACTTCGTGTTCCACAGTATTCAATGAGAGTGTCCTGGGCCCCATTTGGAGACACGGCAAGGAAAAAATGAACCAGAAAAGATCCTCGAGTCCCTCAAAACAGACATCGCCACCTCAGACGGCCACAGAGCCAACTGCCCATCAGAGAGATGGGAGTGGTGGAGGAGCCACGGGGAATGGAACTATGAGTGCTTTTGAGAAGATGATGAGCACTTTCGATGCCTACAAGGAGACGGTAGCAGCGGTCAAGCCTCGACTTCAGGAGCAGCAGGGAGGGGATGCGAATGGTGGGAGGTTTGGTTTGAGGTTGGAGGTGGTGTTTGGGACGGTCTTGGTGCACCACAGAAAAACAAGGGATGGCAGGACTTTGTGAGTGGGTCCACTGAAGACCCGTACACAGCTGCAGTGAGTGTTTGTTAAGCTAATACATTGTCACATAGGATTTTGCTGAACAATGGCTGCTTTATTTTTAGCACAAACTGTGGCAAGACTTCACTAGTGGAGTGAATAGAGAACATGACAGCAAAGACAACGTTAGTCACATTACCTTTGCACTGTACATCCACTGACACTGCATTACGTGATTATTCCAGTGTCAAAGAGTTCCCGATGACAATGGCGACTACTACGAAAACAAAGAAATTGAATCAGGTCAGTGTTACACACCAGGCTAATGCCAACTTCTTCTCGTACATTTTCTTCTCTTGGAAAGGCTCAGGGAATGACAACTGTGACTCTCAATCCAAGAAACCCAGCAAGACACCCAGACCAACAAGTATCTTTGTCTTGGATGAGGTAAACATCTACTGCCATTCTTCCTTGACCTCTACATGCATCATATTATAAGTTACCCTACCCCTGGTATTATGTGTGTATCTGTTTACCCTACACCAATACACTGTGTATCTGTACCTTAGCCTTTCCCTGTGATATGAACACACTACTTATGTACTACACCCATTTCAATTGTGTAGCTCATGTGTTTGGAAGAGATTGGCAGTGATTTCACTCCCGTGGCCTCTCAAGAACTCTCGTTCACTCCTGGTAATATCTTAGTACTCGGTATGGGTCAGTGTTGTTAGTGTACCCTGCTTCTACTGAATAGTCTCCCACACACAGTTTGTTTGTGCTTGTGGGTGCGCCATAATAATTAGGATTTACATATTGAGAATACTTACCACACCCTCTCAATGTGTTAGCCAAGACAAAATATAAAACACAGATCAGTTTACCATATTTACTCTTTTCCCCACACTCTCTTTCACCCTAACTTCACCATCCCACCTACAGCCATGCCTAGCCAGCTAGTGCCAGACATCAACACTACAAAGTCGACTGGAGCTCAGAGATGCATGTCTGAAAATCCGCTCAAAATATGCCACACGCCAGCCAACGAGGTCAGGGTGAATGTCAGTCTGCCACTCACTACATTGAAATCCCCCCTAGCTAAGAAATGAGGAACATCTCAACATTTCCCCCCAAGAACAACAATTAAGACACTTCACAAATTTTGATCCAGCTTAGAACGGTTCCATACATTGTGTTTCATTTGCTCAGCCATTAAGGTACAGGAGAGAGTTGGTGGACACACAAGACCAGGAGTCTGGTGAAACGGCAAAGAACGCCTCAACGTCACACAGTACTGAGGGACCGACTGGTATTCATGAGCAGAGGGCAGAGGATGATGAGAGCCGTGGACACACTAGGAATATAGTGGAGGCAAATGGAAGAGATGGATATAACAAAAGTAGTCAAGAAAGAGAGTTCACCAACAGTTATGCACGTGGCAATGGAGCAACTTTAGTCGATGATTATTCAACAGCAAGCAAAAGTGATGACCATCGACCAGGCAATGACAGGAATCTTGGGTCTGATGTGGCCAGTGCCTCTCCACTCCTAACACTATCTGAGACTGAGCGGGCCATTGTGGCTTCGCATCAGCTGGAGAAAAAATCCCAAGGAAAAGAAGAAGGGTTGGAAAAAGATCCAAAGAGAGACGGAGCAGTGAGACATGTTTCAGTCGGTGTTCAAACAGAATCCAGTCCAGGATCACAAGCTCTGAATTGTGACAACCAACTGCCATGCAATGGTGGAAATCCAGAGTATGATAATGTGGCATGTAGTTCTGCAGCTGATGCTGAACCAACTACTATCCCACTGCCATCCACACACAAACAAAACGGTGATGGGGCAATCTCTCAGGGTCAGGGAGGAGAGTCCGAAACAACTGCTCTACTACTGAACCGAGTGGACAATGAGACACTCTCTCAGATACAGCAAGTAGAGTTGCAGCTAAACACCGTACGAGAGTTAATCACTCAGGGTCAGGGAGAAGAGATTGGTGGGCTTCCCGCTGTACCACCAAGTCAACAAGTGGAAGAAAGATCAATCAGCAGAAAACTCACCGTACCACCAGCACAAACGAGCAATCCTCAGGGTAGTGAAGACATCCCGCTCGTACCCACAAGAACAAGATCGAAGAAACATAGGGTCGGGGACGAAGCCAGACTGCAGGGGCAGGGTACACGAGCACAATGACAAAGCAATCACCAGCAGGGTGACTACCACCATGTACCCCAACAAAAGGGACGAACGCAATCAATCAGGGTCAGGGTGAAGAGATGGTGGGCTCCCGCTGTACCCCGAGTCAACAAGTGGACGAAGCAATCACTCAGGGTCAGGGTGAAGAGGGTGGGTCCCGCTGTACCACCAAGTCAACAAGTGGACGAAGCAATCACTCAGGGTCAGGGTGAAGAGATTGGTGGGCTTCCCGCTGTACCACCGAGTCAACAAGTGGACGAAGCAATCACTCAGGGTCAGGGTGAAGAGATTGGGCTCCCCGCTGTACCACCAAGTCAACAAGTGGACGAAGCAATCACTCAGGGTCAGGGTGAAGAGATTGGTGGGCTCCCTGCTGTACCACCAAGTCAACAAGTGGACGAAGCAATCACTCAGGGTCAGGGTGAAGAGATTGGGCTTCCCGCTGTACCACCAAGTCAACAAGTGGACGAAGCAATCACTCGGTCAGGGTGAGAGATTGGGCTCCCCGCTGTACCACCAAGTCAACAAGTGGACGAAGCAATCACTCAGGGTCAGGGTGAAGAGATTGGTGGGCTCCCTGCTGTACCACCAAGTCAACAAGTGGACGAAGCAATCACTCAGGGTCAGGGTGAAGAGATTGGGCTTCCCGCTGTACCACCAAGTCAACAAGTGGACGAAGCAATCACTCAGGGTCAGGGTGAAGAGATTGGGCTCCCCGCTGTACCACCAAGTCAACAAGTGGACAAAGCAATCACTCAGGGTCAGGGTGAAGAGATTGGGCTCCCCGCTGCACCACCAAGTCAACAAGTGGACGAAGTAATCACTCAGGGTCAGGGACATGAGTCTACTGTGCCACTGGAGAATGAGGTAATAACTCATGGTCAGGGAGAATGGACTGAGCTAGCCAATGTACCACCACTTGAACAAACTGCGTCAATGAGAGGAGCGGTGAAAAAAGGAGATAATCTCTCCCCACAGACAAAAGGGGTAACGAAGTTTGCCTCAGTTGGCATTCATACGGAGCCCACAACTCCAGCAAAACCTCAGCCACTGCCCTTGACTCCCAGACCACCTCCAACACCAATTGCTGGACCAATCCACGCTTCAGTTGCCGTTCAGTGTTCCTTACCACTGGCCTCATCGCCGAGTCTTCTAGAGAAATCTACACAGACCCTCACTACGACTCATACAGACACTGCAGTAAAAACTACTGAAGATGGTAGCAAGTCGTGTCGTACTGGTGGTGGAGCTGTAATCAACAGCAACATTATGGGGTCCTCTTCTGGTGCTGAAAAGGATTATCAACTACCTGATGTGGGGAGGGAAATATCTGCCCTGCGAAAGGAACTAGAATCCGTGCAAAACATAGTCATATGGCAGGCATTGATGCTAAGATTGTATAGTGAGCATTAACCATGCTCAATTCAATTACCATGAAACGAAAATAATTCAATCTATCACATTCATGATTCATGTTTGAAATAACTGCCTGCTGGTACCTGAACATAGTACTGTTATATAGCTACCAAAAGTGTCTGAATGGCACTGAAAAAATGAACGGGCCTAAATTTTGTCATGCTTTGTAGGTGAGAGTAGCTAGCCCAATACGGTAAAAGGAATTTTGCTGAAGGCCGTGAAATAGAAATAAGCTTGCAATTGCCCTGAAAACTTGTTGATTCCCTGCAAAACAAAGTGAGTCATTTTGGCTACTAAGGATTCATGATGGTGCTGCTGTCTGTGCAATTCGTGGGGGTGTGGCTCACGTGAAATAGGTAACGCCCCTTCAGATACGCCCCTTTCGCAGTTAGTTTGCAGCTAATTGATCTGCCGGACGGTCGACCACTGCTCCGTGAGTGAAGGCAACCGAGCTGCGGTCATGGTCCCTGGCGGACAGAAGTTTCAGGATGATACCTCAAGGAGAAGTAACTGCTCCATTATCGGGCAGCAGCACGGCTAAACTCCAGCTTTTCTACACACCGCGAGGCTCGGGCACCTCCGACCAGCCCCTCCCCCCTTTTTTCGTGCAGCGAAAACAACAAACTGGAGGAAGATTTGAGGTGAGTAGCATCCCTGACTTACGTGTATGACCAGTTAATACAATACAGTCCGTGTGTACGGTTATTGGGACCTACTATTTCGTGCATTTGGCATCAGGTAGAACTGTGCTGCAAGCTACCCAATGGAATTCATGCTGTAGAGCTGGGCATTTGCTGCTTGCATGAATAACGGTTTTGAAACTTGTATCTCTAGCTCCACCCCTTGGGGAGAACCCTATCATTAGCTGCCTCTAACCATCGGACACATGAATAATGCACACTGTGTGCCGAAATGTGTGTGGCAGTTCGTACAGTGGGTATTCATGTGTTTGCCTTCACATAACATGTGATAACTTTGTGATGGGTACACAACTGTACCTACAAAGGTCTGGAACCCAACATGATTACATTCCAGCCACACATGCAGTTCACATGCACACACACAGGGCAAACTGGAAAAAGATTTGCCTCAGAAGTGGACTGATTTCCAGTCACTGTGATCATTGCTAGATGTGGAACTGAAGTTTGTGCAGGTTGAGTCAGTGAGGCTCTTGATACAACATCAACTACGTTTACGGTCATACCAACCTACATTGGTTTCACCTCTGAAATTACCTCTTGGTACACGTGCTGTCTTAATATCGCTTGGTAGCCTCAGACTGGAATGGGCACATGGACAGTTGGATTTGATGCTATGGGTTTCAACAGCCCGTCTTTAATATTGCTTGCAGTCATACAGGCACAGTACATCTTTGAACAACAGGCGAGCGTGCACTCGAGTCAAGACTAGGAAAACTTTGGGACTAAAGCCCGACACAAGTAGCACTGTACAGTCAGGTGGCCCTGGCTTTTACAAGGCTATCAGGAACATCGTTCATCGTCTCACCTTGCTGTCTTAGCTGTTTCCCTGGCTCTCTGCCACTGTCTCAACATTACTACTAACTATAGATGGCTTATCTATGAAAGCATAGTGAGCATGATGAAACATTGAATGCCTCTTTGATCCCCATTCAAGTATTATATATACCCGTGGTTTATAGGGAGCACCACGTAGGCTCATGGGGACAAAGTGAAACATGATTGTATACCCGTTTGAAAAGATGATCAACTTTAGAATTTAAGTCGATCATAGCTTGAAAACAAGAGTGACACATGTTGCTTACAGTGAAACCTCTGAAAATGGACACTCCGAATAAGGGACACCTCTCTACAAAACTATTACGTTGTTCCCTCCGAACAAGAGAGGCCTCTGAAGATGACCCCAAGGTGTCCCCTATACTGCCAATAATCTCTGCCAGCTTCCACTCTAATACTGAGCTTGAATGTGTGTGGCATGTATGTGGGTACATGTGGGTAGTATGGTAAGTTCCTCTGCAGCAGGATTTGCACGAATGAATACAGTCAGTGACACGAAAAGGCATCCTGCGTTTGCCGTGATTCCAATTGCAGCATGTTCACTGGAAATCCCATTCACGAGCTGGAAAGAACACTGTGAACAACTATAGTATATAATATCTAGGGCTACAGCAAAGCTATGTACACTTAGGTAGACAATCACATCTGCTGTCTACAGACCCATGCAGGGAAGGCTAGTTGCTTTCTTTCAAGACATTTTGATCAGCATTCTTAAAATAATAAGAGTATTTCTGAGAAACCAGATAAAGCAGTCTTGCTACATTTCTAAGTAGACCAATACGCATAGAGAAATCCTCAGGTGTAAGACTGAGCTTCAAGACTTACTCATGCTAACATTGGAGCACCCATGCATATAGATTGCACTGCAGCAGTTCAAAAGAAAAGTCATCGTCAGTAGTTCGTACAAACAAAAATGTTCGGAAAATGACAAAGTCAAAGTATATACAAATTGTTCTAGCCTGTGAAGATGTGGTTGGTGGTTGCAGATACCTACAAAAAACGTACAAATACGAAAATAATGGAAGTGAGTGATTTGCTTGGTATGCCTTTACACAGTACACAGCATTTAAAAAGTGTAGAGATAATAAGTGACTTGTGCCAAAGAATCAGGTTGGGAGTTTCTGGGCTAGCTACTGACTGGTGTCAGAGGTAGAAAATGGGGACGAGAGAGGAGAGACTTGGTCCTCGACGCTTGAGACAGAGCTGATTCGCCGCGACCTTGATCGACCACCGCCACGTGGTTTCCTCGGTCGAAGGTGGATCTTGACGTGCTTTGAGAGGTGGTCGGAGCGGGTGAACTTCTTCCCGCAGATGGTGCAGCCAAACGGTTTGACTCCAGTGTGTTTTCGTTCGTGTCGAGCCAACTCGTCCGAACGAGAGAACCTCCAGTCACACCCGGGCCAGTTGCAGGCAAAGGGCCTCTCTCCAGTGTGCCTTCGGAGGTGTGCTTTCAGGTGGGAGCTCTTGGAGTAGGCCTTCTCGCAGGAAGGATAGGAGCAGTAGTAGATCTTGGAACCGTCCACCTCCGTGGCCACAGGCTCAGTGGAAGAGGGCTGCTCGGAGTCCTCACCGTCCTTCCCGGCAATTTTGCAGTGCTTCACCAGCGAGCTCACCTCCGTCGCGTCGCGTGCGGTGCTCCGCTTGCGCGGTCGGGTTTGTTTCGGCGGATTGTTGGAGTTTGCAGCCTTTCTGGTGGTCCTCGGTTTCCGCGGAGGTGGCAGCGTCTTCACCTCGATCTCGGTCTCGGCTCCGATGGGCGGCGGGGCTGGCATGATGAACTGCAGGTGATCGTCGGGGGTTAGCGGCGTGAGGCAGTCGCTGCCTGAAGTGGCGCCATCCGAATCTAAGTCGAGGTTCCCAAAGTCGAAACAGCCGTCGAAGAGCTTGACGTCCTGCATGGCCATCGGCGGTAATCCTCCGAAAACCTCGTCCGGGTTGAGATCGGGGCCCAGATCCGGTAGCAGATCGAAGTCCGTGGGGGAGCAGGGAGAGCAAGGGGTGTGGGGGTCGTAGGGGCTTCGGTACGAGGTGTAGAAGTACGGGTAAGGCTCGCCGGGGGAGAGAGGGGGAGGCAGAGGCAACATTGGAGGAGGCAAGCTTAGCTCCGCCGGCGGGCGACCCGCGATGAGCGGCGGAGGCTTGCCGAAAGCGGAGGTAGTCGGCGGCTGTTTCGAGAGAAGTCCGCAGTGGATGTTCTGGTAGTTCATTGGAGTAGGCTCCAGTTTGCAGGCGATGGTTGACATAGTTCTACTACGAATTGGAAGTGTTACGCTAAACAGCTGAGCAGCGCGTGGAACAGTTAACGACGCGTGTCGTGAAGAGAGCGGAGCAGGAGGAGAAAAAATGGCTTGCAGAGTTAGGGGACACGTTCTAGATCGATCGAGGCCGAGGTCGTGTTCAAACGCGAGTGACCTACCGCATTCACGACCGAGCGTTTTATTCCCACGCTCGCCGGCGTTTCGACCAATCAGAATCATCCGTGCGCACGGGACCAAGGTGTGTGAATATCTATCTCCGCGCCGCTCGGCGCCCGTATGTATAACAGAGCATAGGGTTAGGGAGGCAATAAAGGAGCAGAAAAATCAATCTTCCACATCCCCTGTGAATTCACATATGTCATCGTAATCCACAGTCAATATTGTGCTACTGTACACCAACTCTACTGTGGCTCTGTAGTTCTTTGAGTCTCTCTCCAGCAGTCTGCCAACCTGTGGGGATGTCATCACAGTTTCACTTTGATCCACAACACCAGTGCTGCACACTAGCTGCACACCACAACAAATTTAGATATCACACATATAGCAGGTTAATTTCAAGTAAGAATGGGTCGTTTTGCTATGCACCAGCGTAAAACCTTTTTTGTCCGATAGGATATTCAGTATAAGCCCCAATGAAAAACCGTGATAGCACAGCTAAGTTTTTTTGGTGAGTTGAAAGAAAGAGAAAAAACGTCGGGAGTCTAACTCAGAAACCAGCGCACTTCCCCCCAAGTACTGTCGGCGGTTATTCTTTGGCAACCTCCCACTGGCAACCACCCTATCGTGTGCCATCAGACAACATTGGAGATTGACTGGTAACAGGTCTAGGTTGATGCCGGTTAAGGCTGGTCACAATATGTCGCATTGTCCCGTCGCGCCGTGTGGCGTTGCAGCATTGTGAGGATAGAACCCATTTCTATCTTCGCGTCACGTCGCAATGGGGCAATGCGACATATTGTGACCAGCCTTAAGAAGGGGAAGGCAAGACCAGCTCGCACACTACCTACAAAACAAAGCATCTATCACCTTTGAGAAAGAGTTCCATAGGCAAAGAACCCAAAACAAGTCTTTGCTGGCACAGCACGCTATTGCATTCCTGCAGCTTATCGGATTCCTCTCCAAACAAACTCAGAGTCGGATTATCAGCGCTGGAGACAGGATGTTCTCAGGCCTGTTTGCACAAGGCTCATGTCCACCACTTGAACGCTCCGCCTACAGACCTGAGCTCCTTCTAGGGAATGCACCAAAGTGCACATCCAGCACATGTTGTTTCCATAGTCCCATGCTATCCCAATGAATATCCCAACAACCTTTTAGAGGCATCAGGTTTCCAGCTGGCCTGGGAGGGTGCTCTTACAACAACCCAGCCAGTGCTTTGAGATGTACATGTATGGCTGCCATATGTCTCCTTTAGAGTACTTTTCAAGTGCCCGCATTCAGACTCGAGGAGATAATGTTCAAACTCAAGTGCTGCACTAGCCTTAATATAAACACCACCTCAACCTGTGTGAATAGGCTGATGATAAGCTTCCTTTTTTCTCTCCTTCTGACTTGCACTTACAATTCTTTCTGTCTGCCAAGTGTGGGATCAGGGGCCGGATAAGCGGATTGATTAATCTCAGGTAACCCTGTGAAGAACGTATATAACTCAACTTCTGTACATCAATTCTGAGCTAAAGAAGCTTTGCTGCTGAGGGATCAGTTATGTTGTTGAGCATAGGTGGTTGGACAGAGCAAACTAGGCAGTTCTTGAAAAAAATCATAGGGCTCCGATCACTGCGCTCTCTCTTTAACTCTGACCTCTGCATAAATCTCAGGACAAAGTTTCCTGTGAAATTCATGTCCTGGAGCTACATGTGCATTAGGTCCCACTCAATCTCTCTCCCACTTTAACAGTTATATTTTGGATGTTGGAATCTTTCACAACTTGATAGTGAAGTAGTACTGAAATCGGGTTCATTTTCAATGACACGCACACAGATCTCAGAAATTTGCTGTTGTCACAGGTCTCGAGTGCTATCTACGAATTATGCCGCTATACAAACAGTCGAACAGGGCACACTTGCCAGGGGGAAAGGACCACGAACCAGCTACTACGACCCATTGTGACCTTACAGACACTGTGTCATAACAGGCCTGGGAACCACGGCCGAAGTTATGCGCATCTTTACTAGACTCTGATAAACGTGGTGTGAATATCGGTTGTACGTCTATGAATACTCTGCCTCCTGGCACGGTATCGTAGTAGGACTGATGAATATACTTTTGCCAAAGTCAACACATGTGTGTTCGCAAGAGAGTGGTCCAGCCAATAGATGGGCTGCGACGATGTCCACATGTGTGTTTGTGTGTAGGAGATTCTGGATGCGGAACCTTACCCAGGTGATGATTAGATCATTGTTGATGAGTTACTTGGAGTAAATATGTACACTGCCGGCAGACAGACACACAGACAGGGTGTGTTTAGAGTGACACTGACTTCATTATGACATCATCCTATAACTCACTCTATATCCACAGTAGCAACTCCACATATCCCACAAGAGAAGTTTTAAATGAAAAAGCACTAATCCTCAGCGAACTGCGCATGCGCGATACCGCTAATTGATGGTATTAGTATGCGTTTACTCGTGGCCTCCCGTTAGTAGCTCGTGGAGAGTCTGACACAGGCCAGCTACAGCAGTAGATACCATGCGGGAGTCAATACACAACCTTCCTCGTGACTTCTTGTGCCTTCAAGATACACAGAGAGAGCGAACCCACTCGAGGTAAGCCTGTTCTAATTAGCATATTGGCTTTTTCGCTCGTGTTTCACGTCGTAACTCTCGAACGCAGCAGTTTCAGAGAAAACCATACATACTTTTTCGACCTATACCCGAATACCTGACGCTTAAAACATGGTATTGTTTGTGGAGCGACTCATGGCTCGTGAAGTGAGACGTAAGGTAACGGACAGACAGACACGCACGACAACTACAGTAACCCTCGCTGCGCATGTGCACCGAGAGTTAACAATCATACAAAACCCAACACACGACAAGGGTTACAGTTCTGAGCTATAGCAGTGTATAAAGTGAAATTGATGCATGTATTCATACCTGTCCCCTGTGTTTCTTTCCTCCCACTATCATGACTGCAGCATTCTCAGTCTTGGGAACTACAGTCTCCAGCATACCCTGACGAACACCTGAGGGAGGAGCCAGAGGGACTGTCAAACTCTGCTCCATAATAACTGTGGGTGCTGTAATTTGCACGCTCAACCCTTGGAGGAGCTCAAAACTATGAAACTGAAAAGTGAACTGAACTCTATCACCTACAGAATATCACAAGTTATTAGCCCAAAATATTTGTGCATGGATCGGGCACTCAATATTCATAAAAAATTTTGATATCAAAACAACAATTCTCCAGCCACTCAAACTTTTGTAAAGAGAATCAATACTATGCACCACTACACGTTTGCAATCCAGAATCTCAGCTATTTTGAAACTATCCGCTCTTACTATCACAACTGAATAATATTGTCATCATAATTATACATAATGCACTTATCTGTGCTATAAATTAGTTATGTTGTTGAGGCTTTTGTAGAGTAACTAAATGACCAGTTATCTATGGTGATAACAGTGTGTCGTCTAAGAGCCAGTACTAAAGAAGAGAGATAGGAAAGAAGCAATGCCCTGAGCATGAATACTTAATATCATGCAGTGTAACGCTTTGCTGACTCGTCACAGACTAATACACAGAATATATGAATCATCAAAGCCACACAGCACTTTCAACACACACACACCACCTGACTGAAAAGTATATACCTTCGAGATTATTTCCGTCAGCCGTCCGACACACACACTCATCCCCGCTCACCACGTCCAGGATTTCAACCTGCACAAAAACAAGATTCAACACCTGCTAACCACTTCATTATTTAAGCCAGTACACAGGAAAATACACTGATACCTAATAATTGACTGTGCCTGAGGAGGGCTGGGAAACTAAGTCTCACCTGGAGGGCTGGGAAACTAAGTCTCACCTTATTGTTATAGTATTTCCCTCTCTTGAATGAGGTGTCCACAATTCTGACTCTCAGGTAGGGAGCCACCCAAAGCCTCTCTCTGGATACCTCTTTATGTCCTCCACCAGTACTTCCACTGCCACTGCTACCAGCCTCAGTGGTACCACCGGATTTGACTAAGGGTGCATCGCTCTTTTCCGAGTGTTTGCATCTCTTAGCTCTCTTGTGGTTCGACTCCCGGTCAGCCCGTCTTTTCTTATTTTCCCTAAATTCCCTGCCACTCTGCACTTCTATCTCAGTTGACAGGTGATCTTTTGAGGAAGAAGGTTCATCTCTACTGTTACTATAGAAGAATAATAGCAATACTACTTTGGGTGTCTTCACCGGAAATATTTTGCATACCTCTCTCCCTTTCGTTTTATCAGTCCATACTCCTTTGAAGTCGGTTGTGGTCTAGCCGGAGGTTTATCGTACTCTTCTTTGGGTATGAGCTCCAGATGATGCTTGCTGAAGTCTATTACCTAAACAAACACACACAAACACATCAAAACCGTGTGTAGTTTAGTTACTGGTGACAAGTGCATGATTAGTGCATATATCTCTGGCGGCTCTGCTACTATTGATGGACGAGTTTCCGTACAAAAGCACAGGTCTTCCCTTTGCGTTGTGTTGTATTGCAGACTTGAGCCCAGCCAGTTCGGTTGGGCTGGTAGCTCAGTGATAGAGCACTCATCCAGAGCCTCCAAACTAGCAAGCACAGCCATAAATATATATCAATAAGTTATAGGCCAAGTCATCCAATAGCTCAGCTTCACAGAAGAGTGCTCCAGATATGATTCCCCAGTCATACGTACCAAAAGTAGGTGGACACACCATATGATAACCACACTCTAGCAGTGATCACACTGATGGTATGCACTCAGGTGTATTTCGCCCTTCCCCCCAGTTCTTGCACCGCTGCCTGGGCACTACATCAGAGGCCTGATAAAATCAAGCCAGGAACGTGCTGCTATCCTCAGTGCATGTGAGGAGGAGCAGTCCAAATACGGCAGTCCTGGATGTATTCATTACCCAACGGCCCTTGGATGCACACTCTGTGCACACATGCCGTGAATAGACACAATGCGTTGATAACGCAGCTATCTCTACTGCTATTCATAATAGCCCGGCCAATGAATCCGCTATATCATCTTCCCGCCATTCTTGTTTACCGTTCCTTTCTCATGTGCTATATATATTATATATATATACTGTGTGCACACTCTATTTGTGCACGAGCTGGCTTATCAGGAGGGTGATCCCGATGTGTAATAATTGATGGCTCTCTCCTTCCTTGGAAAATGCATCAAGAAGTCAGTGGACCTTGACACACACCTAAGTTGTGTACATACCATCAAAAGCATCTATGGTGAACATTTCAGGTGTAATGTCCCACTTATTGCTGTGTAAAACAGCAAAAAATAAAAGCATATTAGTGATATGTACATTAAGCTGTGAGATCTCGTTGCATATACTGATGCAAAATTATTCACACACTTGCATCACAGCTTTAAAGAATTCGAGTGCATACGTACTGTGCTGCCCTTATGTGAGCTACATGTCTATTTAGATATAGGTGGTACATATAGATATGATAGTAGGGTCAAATGGCAGAGGTTGACCTCAAATTAGGTCGACCCCCTCCTCGCCGCCCCATGCAGACAGTAATCCACCTCTCTCTCCCCACTCTGAGGGCCACTGACAGTAACCCAGGAAGCAGGGTTTATCAGAAGTGGACCCCTAGTCTAAACACAGACAGCATGCACCAGGAATTCTGCTCACACACTGTGGGGAGTAGGGGAGGAAGACTCGGAGAGAACCGAATTTGGAGAATTCACGTTACATGACGTCATTGCACATTTTCAAACTCTAGCCTAGAAAGGCTGTTGTTCAACCAAAGACGAACAATTTCCTACTCTTTATATGTTCTATACTTATCTGTGTGTCCAGATGTGTGTCTGCCAAGTGTGGTCAGCAAAGAAAGGCCTTTGCACAGGACAGATTAAGTTTTGCTGCAAGTCAGACCTATCCTTCACTACAGTAACTTACAACACTTGCTAAAGAACACAAGGAAAAATGCTCGTCAGCTCAGTTACACAAGTATGATCAGATAATCTATCGCTGCAGATTCCAAGATACAACTAACTAGAGACGTGACTAAGAAGTGGAACTGCAGAGCTGGAACGAGAGTCAGAAATTGCCTCCAGCAGTAACTTTGCACGTGTGCCCCCATAATACAGTCTGGCAATGCAGCGACCCTATATCAGAGGAAGTTAAGTGCCATATGGGCCGACATGACAAGGTCAACAAGGTGGCAGAGGACATGACAACTGGCAATGAATCTCATTCCAGTCTGGAGACCTGGCCAGAGGCAAGCTCACCACCGATAAACGCGCAGTCACATCCTACGGGAATTTGAGGTTGATTTATATCCCAAAAACTGTACCAAGTAAGCTCCTCAGAGCATTCAGCAAGTATATACCACCTTTATTAAGTAGAGCCTGTTTTCTTTCTCTTTTCTTTGTTCTATGTACATAGTGTGAGCTGTCAATACCCACCACAGCACATGGTAAATACGTTTTGGTTACAGCCAACATGGCTCCAAAGGAGAGGAGAAGTGGTTGCCTATCGCAGACAGGCATCAGTGTTTCCAACTACCGCTTCGCAGGAGGCCGAGTATCAACAGTGCCTTGGGCCTATACACAGAGCCTACCCCACCACCCGTGAGGCTCCCACCACTGGAGGTCCCTATGCTTACCAGACCATACTGCTCAATATGTTCACTGCTCGGCGGGAGTTCTGCCGACAAGCTATGGACAAGAAAAAAGCACTCCGCACTTCTCATGTGTTCATGTCTACCCACTGGCTATGTACACACAACCAGCACCCTAGCATATTCATCACCAATTAACACTAAACGTTGTTAAAAATTATTATACACTACCTACCCTTCATCAAAAAACTATTACGTATATACCCTTCATCAAAGAGTACCGCAGTAGAGTGCTTGGTATGAACCATGCAGTGCTTTTCACACGCAGAGGAAAGATTTGTTGTGGCGTTTACATAGACCTCGTGTGCACACATGAGGTCTGCTTGAGCTAGGATGATACCACTGCTGGAGTTATTACAGCTGCTGGACGAGCAGCAGCAGCACGGCGCTATGTGTATAGGTAAACTAGTGGTGTATATACTGAGACCCAACCCATGGAGAGGAGAAGATCTTCTCCTCCCCTGAGGGCTGGCATCTTGTCACAAGAACAAACCATTGATATACAGTACATGTTGAGCTCACTTCCACAATTACACAGTACATCCACCATACTCCTGAGAATTGTGACTGATGCATTACACTGCATTACTCTCTAAATGCTCATTGCGCTGCAAACGTACAATGTATAGGTCTAGAGGGTAATTTAGAGTGCACACATAATATGTACACACACTGATACCTGTGCATTGATGGCCAGTCTTAATCCCACTCGACCTTTGTCCTCATCAGCTGACACAATCTGGATAGGGACAGACCCTTAACAACGAGGCACGCCCCAATTATTGTGTTTTATGAACGTGCATCTTTCTATGTGTATTATACCTTCCCACATAGTCCCATATGAGGTCCACTGAGAACTCTGGCACAGTTACCGGTCGTATACCCTGCAGAGACACAACCGTGAGGTTCAGATAATGTCCTAATAGACGTACCTTGAATGGGCTGTTCGGGGATGTCTTCTCCTATCAGTCGCATGTGTTTCACCCGACCATCGGCGCCAATGTAAGGTCCCTGCACCACCTGACACGCCATCAGACATACCCCACAGTAAAACCAGCAACATCAAACAAACACTATAAAATTTTCAAAAAACACTTGACACGAAAAAGGAAGTCACGGAAAAAACCTTTGATGATGTAAATTTTTTGCCAATTGGAAACAATCGTTTCTGACAGGCTATAGATATGGGTTGTGTATACATCAGTCAATTTCCTAGCCTCACAGGCCTATAAATCTTGCACAAACTGCACATATGGTTCTCGGTTTTCGAAAATATCTCCTCCATGAGTGTTTCACCTTCTTCTTTGGCTCTCCGGGTCTCCTCCCCTTGGTGGGTTTCTCCTGAGGTTTTGGGGCAGCTCCGAGACCCAGTTTACCCAGCCTCGGAATGAACTCCACAGGAGCCAGCATCCTGCAGGCCAAGGAAACAGACTGGCTTCACACAGGCAAGCGGGAGAGAAGTCAGCAAGGAGCTGTACATACGTAAGAATAATACTGCACTACTAAAACGCGACAAAAACATTTTCGAATGGTATAAAGTTTGAGTGCCTTTCCAACCGAAAGTCTTCACAACCGATCTGACAGCACATAGGCATCTATGAAATACATATGTACATATATAGCTCAGTGTCTAACCCTTTGTTGCTCTTGCCGATGGCTGTGCCATCTTTCCAGCCCATCCCCCTCAGCATGGCCTTACCAAACTCTCCTATTGGCATCTCTTCATAGTCATCAGCAGTGCTCTGAAACAACACCAGTGAATGCATAAGAGTAGTTAACATGTACACATGTAGTCCCATAGACAATGATCCGTGCCCATCTCTATTGACAGTGAGTAGATTTGTTCACCAAACTGAAAGCTCCTAATAAACTACTAGTGCAATTTCACTGTCATGCTAGTAGTACCAAATATGGGTTTCTCTCATCTCACGGGTTCAGGCCTCATGCTGAGGTCAGCCAGTTCCCCAGTCTCAGAGTCCTCCCTGACTGGAGGCTTGTTCTGCAGCAGGAGAGGGATCATCTGACCTCCATCCCCCTCTTCCCCTTCTTCTGACTTGGCGATCTTTAGATCTGCACACACACACACACACACAACCCCTCTAACGGAACAGACTCTTTAGATATCCTTACAACGTGTATAAATGACACAGTCATGTATGTGACTAGGGTGAACTTGAAAGGAAAAAATTAACACAAATGTTATGGGCATTGTGGAACATCCCTGCATACAAACTTTGGTTACAAATTCTGCTTATCATTATGCATATTTCCATACCTGAAAGGATAGCTTTTGCTGCCTCCTTGTCTAACGTCAGCTTCTCATTAGTCTTCGCCTGATCAGTGTTGGACACACCCCCACTCACTCCCTCTGTCTTCCCTCCTTCTCCTTCCTCCACCCCTCTCCAGACCACCTTACGGATGAGTGGGATCACATAATCTTTCTTCTTCGGCACAGGATTTGAGCTGCGGGGCACACCAAACATACTGCTCCATACCCAAACGGACTCTGGTGGATTCCTCAACTCCTAAGAGCTATAAGCACGCTGTAGCAGTGTAGTCCAGCCTGGACTTTAGTAGAGCTATACATGTAGGTATATATGCCATGGCATGTCACATGTAGTGCTTCAAAGTCAGCACGATAGTCTAGTTACCTGTGAATATTTCCTCTCTCAAAGGAGTATACGAAGTCCTTCGCGGCTCCTTGGCCGTTCTTGGTATCTCCTCTGCCTCCCATGGCCTCTGCAAATCCTCCAACCTTCCCCCCGAGACTGCTCTGGCTCTTCTTGGCTATGGAAAACGATATACCGCCGCCAGTAGAGCCCGAAGGCGCGGCTGAGGACGATTTATTGGATGCCATCGGTGGAAAGAGACGATATATACAGTAGCTGCCTACAGGCCTCGCTTAGTAAACGACGTTGCCCAGCAAGAAGGAAAAAACCACACCACGATGACGCGAGGTTCCAATTAACGCGCTCCACGGGGAGTTTACTACGAAAATGATTACTAGACTTTCTGTGTTTGTAGCCTGAGTGTAGCACTAGAGCCTGTCTCTCTCAGTTTGAAAAGGATGTAGAGAGTGACGCCAGAAACGGTGGAGAGAATGCCCAGGAACTGGTTGAGGCTAATTGGGTCTCTGAACAGGAAGAACCCTCCCAACAGAGTCACACAGAACTTGCAGTGGCCTATCATGTTGTACCTGCAGTGGGGATTACATGAGGCATATAGAGAGAAAGCCATCAGCTATACTGGTGAAAGAGTTTTGAGCCACCTAGCTCAACAAACTGGAAAATGGCCGACTACTAGACACTCGTAGCTAATGGATTGAAATTTCAGGCACATATATACGTAGTAGGCAAGAAAAAGCTGCAGAGGTGTAATATCATGTGTTTGTTTTAGAGCATTATTAGTGTACGTACGTGAGTGGGGAGGTCTTTCCAATGATCCAGAATATAGAGAGGTTGACCATGAATGCCACCAGACCTGACACCAACACCATTCCCTACAGCAGTAGACACCAGAGCCCACACATTTTCAATTGAATAAAAGTCACTCTACTGGCAATTGAATTTGTTCACAGATCTACCTACAATAGGAGCCCAAACAATTCTTGGTTAGTGGGGTATATAGGGACCTGGGAAAAGTAGAGTAAGGTATATTGTATGTAGAGCCCAGAGTGTCTCATGATCGAGGTAGTCTAGTTCCCCATGTATGGGGGAATGGGCAGTTCCCAATAATACTAAGCAGAATCTTACCAGAGCTTCAAAGGAGAGTTGCCACGGGAGAGAGAGCACGGGTTCAAAGAACGGGACCACACACAGCAGAATTAGTGACGAGAGAGGAGCCTGCAATTTACAAACACACAACACTACATTCTCTTTCAGAAACCCAAACTTCCATTTTTTCATGTGTATTTTGTCTTTGTAAAAAACTTTTGAGCTTCCGCTATTTTTCTGCGTTTAATGTCTCTGCAAGTTTAAAAATGGTTTCTCCCTCAAAAACTATAAGTATGTTTGTACATACCTGATAGTAAAGAAGCTGCATAGAGTTGACCTGAAACTCAGTCTGTTTGGTCCCAACAAGCTGCAGAAACGTTGAAACCACACACAGTAAGAATTGCCAGCTAAAAGGGGAAGACCCTCACTATTTGGTAGGTGGACGTGACCAAGACTCCAAGGCCTGCAAATAGGGTGCCGAGAAAATTGAAGTGGACGTCGTAGTAGGAGTTTAAGAATATCCCAAATATCACAGGGATCTGAAACGAAATATAGCTACCGTTGCAATGGCACAAGGTTAGGTAATAGTGACGACAGTAGCATAGTCCGAGGGAAAGAGGAAGACCTGCTTCTGTCTGAGAGTATTTGTACTGCATTCCTAAAAAACTTTGCTTCCCAAATTTTACTTTACTCTAGGCTTGTTTTCTATATCCTTATTCATCATCCAGATCGAATAATTACCGTTGAGAGCTTGACTCTTAGTGAAGTGTTCTTCCCATAGAAGAGGGCCTGAATGGTCATAATAACAGGGGTTGTCATGGCTTTGGCCAGCTGGTAGGTCCCGACGGTGTTGAACTGGAGGGAGAGGTTCGTGAAGACCACAAATCCGCAGAATGAGATCGAGAGAGGGAGGACTTTGAGAAGTGATAGGCTCTTGGGGGAGAAGACGTCGAGCTTGGCACAGAGGAAGAGACCGAGAGAGGTGGTTAGGAAGTGGACGAGGGTCAGAGTCATGCTCGGGAACCCGTAGCGAACGTAGATTAGTTTGTTGAGGAATACGATGCTGATTGCCGAGGTGAGGTTCAGCACTATGCTCACTCCGACTCTCTTTGGTGACACCATGACTAGTCTCTGCGTCTTCCACCTCAATATTTCTTCAGTGTGTGGCTATCAATGGTGCCTGTTGAATCCTTCCGAACTCTGACCTGAACGAGTGTGAACTAAAAAAGTAAAACGCTGGTTTTCTTACTGACATTACGATGAGGATGTATATTCATTGCTTACCTTCCCTGCTTTAGCAAAGTGTGCTAGCTCAGGCGTGTCACCGTCTTTCTTGCCGCCATAACATCTTCCGGGTTACGTATGAGCTTGCGTAACGCACGGTCGTCGTTCCTGTTACGTGTTGCTATGGGAAACGAGCTCGGTGCCAGCTTCAACGAGCCCCGCCCACCATTTTCTTACAGAGACTACTTTTTCCAATCTTCATGAGCCCTTCCTTCCTGGACGAGAACACTCCTTACTTCTTCAGCCAAAAGAGGGAGAGGAGCTACCAGCAGAGGCGAATTAGAAAGACGCCAGACGACGTTTCAGTGTTTAGGGAGTGGAGAGAAGGCTACGGGGCCGACGCAGAGAGCGTTGTGAGCGTCGGGCGGCTCTCTAGGGCTCCAGCCGACCTCCAGCGAGTCAAGAGCGCCATACGGAGGAGAGGCTCCGCGGCCAGCAGTCGGCACGTGTCCCTCCTACCGCCAGTAGACAAGGACGGTCCAAGGCTAGTGTCCGGGGAAGAAGTAGATAGCAATCAAGGCGCTCTCGAAGAAGGGGAGGAAGGAGACGGTATAAAGGGAGCACGTTTAGGTTGGACCAAAGTCAAGGAGATCTACAAGTTCAACGAGCTCAAATTCGGGTCCACTTCCATCCTTTCGAGCCTTGGCAAGTGTCTTGACTTCACCCAAGTCGGTGAGAACGCAGATCAGGTCTCGGACTTTCTAGAGCCGGACCTGGTACGCAAGTTCCTGCAAGATCACCGGTCTCTCACATCAGATACGGTGGTCGAGAAGCGAGAGTGGCAGACCGACTGCTACTTGGATCTCGGCAGCTCCAAAAACAAGCAGCCTTTCCTCACAGCTCCTCCGAACCAAGAAGGAGGAGAGGGAGAGGGTAAGGACACAGGAATCAGTGAGCAGAAAAGACGAACAGTAGAAGCTGCCATTGCAGCTATTTCCAAGAGATACGCAAAACGACTCAACCCGAAGCCCATATCTTTCAAGGACAACAGAAAGAAAGAAAAATCGACAGAGAAACGCCCGTCAAAGAGAGTCACGCTCAACCAGGAAGTCATGTTCAAACCAGACTCCCCGCGAAGGCCCCAGACTGCTCACAGCATCCTCTCGAACTTCTCCTTTCACTCTGATCACAGTCGACCGAGCAGTGGAGAATCGAGACCTGACCACTACGACGTATTGCCTGCAGAGCTGAGACCTCCGAGCATCATGCTCTACAAGAGAGAGAGTCTGGTTCCCCAGCTCAAAGTCCGCCAGCCCAGGACGAGACTCGAGAAGTACAGAGATCAGACGTCCCCCACACACCACAAGCCGACTCGCATCAAGATCAGTGAGTCAACTGCATGCACCACTTTGCTAAGCGTAAGTTGGCACAGTGTGCTCCATACCAACTAGGCCCAGGTTTTAAAGGCAGCAGCTTTTGTGGAGCATAATGGAGACTTGCCTGCGAAAGTCACTAAAGTTTTATAATCACGAGATTTTACCTGTACCATCCATGTAGCTGTCTATAATACTTAATTAATGCAAGGAAATTTTTGACACCCACACATATTTCTTGGAACTGTAGTAGTAGTTTTGGAGAACTCATCTGGTAGCTGGGTTCCTTAACATAGCACGTGTATGATATCATCTTCCCTCGCCATCTATAAAAGCGAGTCTGGTTTATACGAACATCAGCCTGTAAGACAGTCTACAGATATGGCTACTACAGCTCTTTCTTCCATGATTATACATACTTCTGGTCTATTGCACCGGGATCTACGCTGTTACTGACGAGTGTGTCACTTGTCAGCTCAAGGAGTAGATTATGCATGACCTGTATGAGGCACTGAATCTTGGCTACACTCCCAGTCACCCTGCCGCCTCCTGCAAGGAGGTCCTCCAGCTGGCCCCACGGTCTCCCTCAGGTCTCTACTGGATCAGTGGAACCGACAGCAAACCCAAACACATGTACTGTGACATGGAGAGGAGCTGCAAAGGTGTAGCTGGAGGCTGGATGAGGGTGGCCTCTATCAACGTGACTGACACTAGCAGTATGTATACCTGTCCATCTGGTCTGGGGACCATCACCAGTCCTCGCAGACTGTGTAGTAGAAACATTGATGGTGGTGGATGCTCTTCGGCGGTGCTGCCAGTACAGGGAGTAGAGTACTCTCAAGTGTGTGGCAAGATCATTGGATATCAGGACAAAACTCCAGATGCTTTTCGCCGATACACTATTATTACCACTACCGATAACAATTACGTTGATGGGATCAGCATAACGCATGGAGAGTCACCTCGTGAGCACATCTGGACATCTGCTGCGGCGCTCCAGAAGGATAACTCTCTCCTGGAGTCAGGGTGTCCCTGTACAAACAACACCCGCAACAGCCCGCCTCCTCCTGCAGTACCCTCATTCATAGGAAATGACTACTTCTGTGACACCGGGAGCCAGAACCACTA